ATACAAGACATAGATTGAGCTTAGCCCGACACATAGGGCAACAACTACACTGTGTACCTTTGGAGGAATTTCTACAGTGCTGCAGTATGCATGATAGAGATCTTTCAGTTTGTGGCAGGCGGTGGCAACATAGATATAATGCCCCATGCCCAGGAACGGCAGAATTTGCTTAACCCAAAGATCTGTCTGATTGAGGAAATCATCACCAGCTTTGGTGTTTCTGTCTCTGTCGGTGCTCATTGTTGTCGTCTGCAGGCAGATAATGGCTTACCGGTAGCGCCTGAGGTACATGGTGGTACAGGGAACCTTTTAGTTTACTGCGTGAGATCCTCAGCAACTTGGAGTCGGTTGCGATCTTTGTGTGCGATCCGCTCTTACTCGTCTCCGTTGGTCACACCCCTTCGGAAGCAGCCCAGGCAGATTTAGGCCAGGAAGGTTCGGCCTGAGGCCACCTGGCAACGGATCGTATACTTATTTCCCCGACACACAGCAAATCACGAGCCAGTGCTCTACTCTCTCAGTGCTTTACGCAATACTCCTCACCAATACAAGCTCTACAGCTAATCACCGTAGATGATGCCTTGATAGTTGAGATAGAAACAAAACCATCTTGAAGCTATTCTCGTTATAGTACTATTCTAGTAGAACTGAAATATGCTTGGTAATGCCCAGAGTAAGCATACCGTAGCAGGGTTCAGAGAAGACTACTTGCACAGGATGAGTAACCGAGGACTGGTGAGGAAACTGTGGCTTGTAGTTACGGGGACTGTGTCAGGATCGGCGAAAACAAAGTCGAAAGTGGTTGGAACTGAGACCACAGTCTACGTGGACAAGGAAGGCACAGTCTACGTGGACAAGGAAGGAGCCGCCATGTCTGACAAAATAGAACTCAATCAGTTCAAATACCTGCAAGCAATCCAGACCACAATTCGCCATACCCATGCGAGTTCTCGACAAAAGCACGAATAATGTCGAAGTTGATAGGCTACAAGAAGAGACCAATAAATGGACATACCTCAAGAAAGTCACCAGAGCCTCAATAGCTCTCCCAAGTGCTAACGTGGAAATACTACTTGAATAGAGGATCTTGTAGAGGTAGCTACGCCCGACGAGATCAACTGCAACTTATTCAAGACGAGTGCAAGTAAATTCAAAGTTCGCTTCTTAGTAATCATAATCTGTTGTTTTGAGCTTTGATTTGATGCGATTAAAATACAAGGACGCTCGATTGTACGCGTGATTGGAATCAATAACATGCTGCGTAGTAAGTGTGAATACTTGCGTACACAGTCAACGTAGATATAATAGCGGACACAAAATCGGTTCTCCGCTTGGCAGGATGCTTTATACTCCTGTCGAATACTCCAAATTACCGTATGCGTGTTATGCGGTGTGAAAGAAAAGCCCGTTGCTGTGTTGTTGCAAGTATCTTGAGATTTCATCATATCCCGGCGCAGCGATCTGAGCTTCTCAACACCTTGTTTCATCGTGTTGACGTTCATGAAAACATGATCAATCTACCACCGGATACTCTGAGTCGTTGAAGGAACTGTAGAAAAACGCTTTCTCTCCCCTTTCACTCACCCTCAGTGCGACTGTTCGGACTCTGAGTGTTTTCTTTCTGCTTTACTTATCTTTCTGTTCTGAGTGTTCTTTCTCCTCTTCTTCTTCTTCTTCTCTTTCTTCTTCCTCCTTCTCTTCTGTCTTATATCTTTCTTGATACCTATCTTCTCTTGCTGTCTCTCTAAACCAACAACTGTTTCTTCTTTCTTCTAAAAATAATCTTATACAATAAACTGCACTTTTGTTTCTCTCCATTCTTAAACCGCCTACTAGTAACTAACTCCTTCAATACTATAAATATATAAAACTCTTAAAACTCTATGTAACATATCGCCTCCTTGGTATCCTCCTCCTTCCTGAGACCGACAAAACAGCAGGTTGGCATTTTTCAGTAATTATGCATTCTAACAGATCTACTAACCCTTCAGATATCCTCATCAAACACTGGGACTATACGTCGGTATGGCCTATGCTGAATGCAATGCTGTTTTGGTCAGGAGATACCAAGGATTGCGGTAAGAGACACTCAGAGTCGACAGTCCGCCGCCACTGAGGGGAGTAAAAGCGTTACAGTTCCTCCACCGACTCAGAGTATCCGTGAAGAGATTGAGTCTATGTTTTTTTAATGAGATCCACAAGATGGAACGGGTAGAACGCTTTGGCAAAGAAACACGTTCCTGCAACGAATGCCAAAAGGGGCACGGTAAATGGGAGTAGTCGACAGGAGTAAAGCATCCTGCCAAGGAACCGTTTCCCGCAGATACAACGTTAACTTCCGTATCAACTACACGATGTATTGATCCAACACGGTACAACTAGCTTTTAGTTTGATCCGCAATCAAAAATCAAAGCTGCACCAACACAGAATTATGAATGACTAAAAGGAAAGCGGAACTGTTTTGCATTTACCTTGCACTCGTCTTGAATAGTTGCAGTTGATCTCGTCGGGTGTTCGGGCGGTAGCTACCTCTACAAGATCCCTCTATTCAAGTAGTATTTCCCCACGTTAGCACTTTGGGAGATGCTATTGAGGCTTCTGGTGAACCTTTCTTGGGTGCCATTATTGGTCTCTTCTTGTACTGAACTCCATTATTGGTCTCTTCTTGTACGGAACTCGCTGGGAATGGCATTGGCTCGTTGGATTGGCTGGCAGGTATTGTGAACTGATTGAGTTCTATTTTGTCAGACATGGCGGCTCCTTCCTTGTCCACGTAGACTGTGCCTTCCTTGTCCACGTAGACTGTGGTCTCAGTTCCAACCACTTTCGACTTTGTTTTCGCCGATCCTGACACAGTCCCCGTAACTACAAGCCACAGTTTCCATCACCAGTCCTCGGTTACTCATCCTGTGCAAGTAGTCTTCTCTGAACCCTGCTACGGTATGCTTCTGAGAATACCACATTCAGTTCTAGCTAGCTAGTACTAAAGGTAGCAACAACACCTCGAAGTTTTGTTCGACCACCAATCAAGGCATTGAGTGAAGCAGTATTGCGTAAAGCACTGAGAGAGTAGAGCACTGGCTCGTGATTGCTGCTGGTGCGTGAAAAGATCAGGATCCAGTGCCAGGTGGCCTCAGGCCGAACCTTCCTGGCCTAAATCTGCCTGGGCTGCTTCCGAAAAGGGTGTGACCAACGGTGCAAACAGACCGAAAATCGCACAACCCCGATCCAAGTTGCTAGGATCAACGCAGTAAACTAAAAGGCTTCCCTGTAGCCCACCATGTCTACCTCAGGCGCTACCGGTAAAGCCATTATCTGCCTGCAGACGACAACAATGAGACCGACAGAGACAGAAACACCAAAAGCTGGTGATGATTTCCTCAATCAGACAGATCTTTGGGTTAAGCAAATTCTGCCGTTCCTGGGCATGGGGCATTATATCTATGTTGCCACCGCCTGCCACAAACTGAAAGATCTCTATCATGCATACTGCAGCACTGTAGAAATTCCTCCAAAGGTACACAGTGTAGTTGCTGGTGGGCAGTACATGTATCTCGCAGCGACGGGTTCCCATACATTCTACAGCGCAGCTTGTTCCTCCGTGTCCCGTGCAGACTACATGTACACCCACTTTGATACTGGCAGGTTTGGACAGATCGACGGCACAAGACTCTGTTATACTGCTGCCAAAGTGGGTATTGTCCAAGTTCTTGAATGGACCCAAGATAAAGGGCTTGATTGGGATTCTGAGACATGTCGGGGAGCCGCCGAAACTGGCCATTTGGATGTCCTCAAGTATGCTCATGATAAGGGATGTCCTTGGAATGCAGCTACATGTTGTGTTGCTGCTGGAAATGGCCATCTGGAAATACTGAAGTATGCCCATGAGAATGGATGCCCATGGGACAAATGTACATGTTACTATGCAGCTCAAAGTGGACATTTGCAGATGCTGAAGTATGCCAATGAAAATGGATGTGAATGGGATAAAGACACATGTCGCATGGCTGCTGAGAATGGACATTTGGAAATCCTAAGGTACGCCCATGAAAATGGATGTCCCTGGAGTGAAGACACCTGCAGCAGCGCAGCTCAGAATGGGCATATGGAAATTCTGGAATATGCTCATGAAAATGGATGTGAATGGGATGAAGACACATGTCGCATGGCTGCTCACAATGGATATTTGGAAATCCTCTCATTCGCCCATGAAAATGGCTGCCCATGGGGGAAGTACACATGCAGCTCTGCTGCTGCAGGTGGCCACTTGGACGTCCTGAAATTCACCCATGAAAATGGCTGTTCATGGGATGAAGATACTTGCCACTGTGCTGCTCAAAATGGCCATTTGGAAATCCTGAAGTACGCCCATGAAAACGGTTGTCCATGGGATGAGAGGACCTGTGTTTATGCTGCATTCTATGGTCATTTGGCAGTGCTAGAATATGCTCACAAGAATGGGTGTCTTTGGGATGAACAAACATGCAGCAATGCTGCTGCACATAGCAGTGTGGAAATCCTCAAATATGCCCACGAGAATGGGTGTCCATGGGATGAAGATACATGTTGCTTCGCTGCTGCCAATGGCCATTTGGAAGCGCTAAAGTACGCTCATGAAAATGGCTCCCTTTGGGACGAGTTCACGAGCAGCAATGCTGCTGGAAACGGCCATTTGGAAGTTCTGCAGTTTGCGATTTCAAATGGTTGTTCATGGGATGAAAATGCTTGCTGGCAGCCAACGATCCTCTTGTGAAGGCTTGGGTTCAAGACTTCCTATCCTACCGGTAGCTAGAGGAACGCCTGAAAATCTCATGGTTATGTAGAATGCAAAGTGAAGGGTTGTCCCTTGTAGCCTACGGAAGAGTCTCAATCAACTAACTTTGCACCATGTATCTACCGCTAGCTAGGCAAGATTTCTTCTGCACACTAGCAAGCATTTGAAGCATAGACTAGAGTGATATGCACATTAAGACGGACGTTTCCCGATATTCTCTTCAGGGCTGTATATCGAATATAGTACATGTAAGGAGGGGAATCGATAGCACACATGTAGTTGAGTATGCCATAAATTTCGCAGCCTAACTCCATAGTGTACTTATTGGTGGACTTACGGGCGGTTGAAGATATTGACCTACTGACGGGGAATTCTTTTTCCCTGCAGATTAAGACCAAATGACGTCACACGTAGCTTCTAGTACTGAGTCTACGTAGGATCTTACTGTACTGGTACCGTGCTCTATCGAGAGAAACCACAGGGCCCAAGTAGAGGTCTCGAAGCACATGATGAAGCATCGCACCTCTATCCACACTCCTTCTTCCTCTTGGATACATACAGGTACGGGTACGGTACTATTAAAATACTTCGTACCAGTACCTCTACCGGTATGGTTCGAAGCACCTCTACGTATCGTTCGAAGCACCTCTTGTTTGCACTCCTTCCTTCCTCTATCGACACTGCTTGCTTCCTCTATGGACACAGCCAACACCCAACACCACCACACGGCTTGAGCAACAGTTCAAGATGCACATATGCATAGTGGCTCACCTACCGGTACCAGGAGTGGATACTTACTTGATGTCTCTCTACTAGCTACCGCTAGCTGGCTACTACGGTACCGTAGCTAGGTCGTATGTGTGTACCCGTTACTATAGGAATTACTGTACAAATCCCAGAATATTACGATGGTCTTAATCTGCAGTGGGTCTTATAGTGCATATCACTCTACCTCTAGCAAACTATTTTAAAAGTATTGGAGTAACAAGTAATTACCAGAGCCCAAATAACCGCAGGAGCGTTTGGGAGCACTACAAAGAACAAGCAGCCGGAGGCTGATGCCCTCAACTGTCAAAAAGAGATTTGATTGGATTCCCCAATCGAATCCTTAACATCTTTGGTCAAATCCTTTACCGTGTTCAACTTGACACACTAGCAAGTCTCCATAGCCAGCCAGTAAGGGTCCAAAGTACTGTGTCCAACAGAACACACAATATAAATCCCTATCCTTAACAAGGAAAATGTCCCTTATGTCTTTGGAAAAACCTCCACTGTGTTTATATGGACACACTAGTGAGTCTGCATAGCCAGCCAGTACTGGTACCCATGGGTAGAAACTACTGTGTCCAACAGAACACACAAGATTAATCCCTATCCTTAACGAAGCAAGTGTCCCTTATGCGACGAAAACAGCTGCAACAAACACACAAACACACACACACACACACATACACATACAGGGATAAAAGTGTGAAAGACCCTCAGTCCGTTGAGGGCAAAAAGAAGATGGAAACTGAACTTGCTTATTCCATTTTGCGCTTCTTTCGGGCAGGGGATGAAGGCGTCAGGAATGTATCTCCCGCCGCAACCGTGCAACCCGTCACGCAACCACCAGTACCTCTCTGAAGCAAGTGCTCCAAGTACATGGCACAATACACACAGGTAGCATCTTTGCCCTTGTCGTTAGAGTATACGCCCAATGCTTTGTCTAGCTTCAGCGCCAGAAATAGCAGCTTCGTCTTGGTATCCAAGCCTTGAGGTGTTTCTGGATGCTGATTATGCATTTCAATGGAGGTTTCCAGCAATTTCACACAGTCACGCAAGCGGTCCTGCGAAGAACCAACGATACCTTTACCTACCACTTTGAGAATAAGAGGCTTCAATCGACGAAACAAACTCAGCGGCTTCGTGCCAGCATCGTCATCCTTGGGTGGTGTGGTGTCTGCGGCAAGGTCTGCCGTTGTGTCGGGGGACACAACTTTCTTCTTCCTGCTGCCTGCTGCCTTTTTTGTTGGAGGCCGCGGTTGCCTTCTTTTCGAACGAGAATTCAATGGCCTCCAGTTTCGCTTGCTGATCTTGACTCATTGTATTGTTCTGGTAGGCGTCACGCTGAGACGACATCCAACGCCGAAGTTTGGCGTACCCTTTGGAGGGAACATTCAGGTGCCTGTTGCCATGAAAAAACGCATGCGCAGCACTGTACATGGTCATCCATGCTTCCTGCTTGTTGTGCTCCTTCACGTTCCAAATGAAACCAATCTTATCCAGCAATTTCTTCCTCTCTGATGGTAGCAGATTTTTTGCCTGTGTCTCTCGCTGGTTGCTTACCCATCGACCAATAGATTTTTCCTTGTATTCAAAGGGCACATTGCAATGGCCCTCCTGGCGCCGATACTCCACAAGGTTCAAGTATTGCTCTTGCCAGCGTTCGTCATTCTTGGTACTGGTGTAGGCCGCGACGCGATTGGCATTTTCTAATGAAACGTCCCAATTGAAGCCTAACAAGTCTAGCCTTTGCTTTCGAGATTCTGAAAGAGTACCTGTTCGGTAATTGGTCTTTTGCACACCGGCCCAGCGGACTAATTGTTCGTCATGATACTTGGCTTTCAGCTCAATGTTTCCGTGCAAGGCTTTGTGGACCCTTAACTTTTCAAACATGGTTTCCCATTGGCAATCCTTGGGATTCCACACAAATCCAATGGCATTAAGAGCTTGAATCTGCTGCTCCGACAGTTTGTGGCGATCCTTCCTTTGATGGTGCACCCATGAACCCAACTGAGGATCCGCTTTTGTTCCGGAACGTCACCAAACAGTCACCTTGAGATACCTTGTACATCAACAGCTCAGCATAGCTCTCGTCCCATGTCCGCTTTTCTCCTCTGTGGGCAGGGTGATCCGTCATCTTGCAATGGCGGTAGCAGCCCAACCAGAGACAAGAAAACTTTTTAAATGAAGATACTTTGGGGGTGGTGGGAGAAGCTTTATTTCGCACTTTTAAAATTCAAAAACGAGGCGTGCTCTCATGATGTAAGCTTGGTACTAATACCTACGTAGGTGGCTGCGCTCGAGCTTGTCCTCGCTATTTAAATATTTACGAGCAGCTTCGATTTTTCTGATTCAAACGCGTGCCAGCTTTTTTAGTACACTTCTACAAGTGCTCGTGTAGAAATGTACGAAGAAGCTCGGCTCGCGTTTGAATCAATAGAAACGAAGCTGCCTGTACGCTTCCCAACTCGAGGCGAGTGGAGTCAACAAGGAACCATAGTTAGAAGCAATCCCTTCAACTCCGGGTAGTCTAGCTATTTCTGATGCGTACATGTATGTAGTCTAGCTACGGAACGACCTGCGTTGGGAGTTGGGTTGCTTTGACCTCAACTATGTACCGTAGTACGATGTACTCAGTGGCCAGCATGACAGGATGGGAAAGCCCAACAAGATCTCGTATTCTGCCATCTCGCGTTTTATGGTTGGCAGAGTAGCTAGCTAGTCGCTTGCTTGCCCACCGCCCGGAACGATCTTTTCAAGTTGGCATACGCGTACGTGTACCGATACGTATATATCAACGAACAATGCTCTAGCTGCTAGAAGGGGGAGGCCAGTGAATGTTTCGGTATCCAATTAATTCTGAAGGTTATTGACTGACTCGACTCGACTCGATCACTCCGTCACTGAATGGTCACTGAAAGACTAGACCGTGAGGAAAATGCCGTTGATTGAACGGTGAATGCGAAAGCAAGTCTATCGTTGAAGGAAATCGGTGCGGTATCGGCAACCATAGAGGTGCGACAAAGTTGCCATGAGGTTGTGCAATCATCGGTATCGTTTCTTCCGTATCACACGACGAGTCGTTCAAAGTCACGGTCCGAGAAAAAACCGTGCTTTCATTTGCAACTGTGCCAGAGTTGGCATCGTGGTTCTGCTTGCTCTGCCGCGTCAAAGGACTTCTTCAAATCGATTTTGCTGCGCTCAACTTTCCAACTGAATGCCTGATGCAGCTCACTACCAGCAAACTTGAACCGTCGAGCTAGGTCTTGGGTTGGACAGGGCTCTGCGGGTGAGGTGCAAGGCCATAACCAAAGTGTTCCATCAGCTCCTCGTCCAAGTAATGATTCGCGTATTGTAGATCATGTGATGTCATGCCTCGAAATCGTGTAGCAGGTCTTCCATATTTTATGATAGCATCCAGGTATCCAGTGTGTTGCAATTTACTACCGCCCACGACTCGGCTCTTGTGACTCTGTTTCGTTGATTGTGAGGGAATTCTGACAGGCAAAAGATTGCCAAGCTTCAACTTTCCTCCTGCGCATTCGCAGATATGGGTCACCACTTGGTCAGGAAAGTAAAGCAGATCCTCGAATCGAATAAATACATGAGGGTAGTCTTTGAGGTCAAAGTACTCCCGATACCAGTCATTGAACAAATGGACCAAAGAGTAGTGGTATCTGGTGAAGTTGGCATAAACCACATGAACAGGGAAACTGTGATTTGAAAGCTCTGAGTCTGTGAGGAGGGTTGTTGGTTCCTGGTTGACAAGAATTTCTGGAGGTGGTGTTGTTCCTTGCGGAGGCCCTATCCACTTCCCTGGTTTCTTCCCTCCCATCCTGAATTGCTTGTCCATGAAGACACCCTCAGAATGACTCACTTCATTCTTCTCCTTGACAATCGGTGTTCCATCTAAGATTGGTTCATATCGTCGAAACCAAAGTTTCTTCTTTTCCTCCTCTGTAGGGTACAGATTAGGGCAATGATACCGCTTGTCCGATGGACGATATGGTCTTGGCCAATGGCTGGAGTAATAATTCACACACATGCTTTGTAGCCATCGAAATGGATCCCTGACCATGACAACAGGCAACTCCTGGCGAGGATCAATGTTCTTTTGGCCTGGAATGATGTGACTCATGCGAAACTGTTCATCCTTGGGAGGGGTGTGCTTTCCATAGGTCATCTGTGCTCGCACACCGCTATATTTGTTGCCATACTTTTTCTGCTTTTTGTGCAAAACACAGTTCATTTTGAGTGTATCTGCCAGTAGATTGGTTCCAGTGTTGAACATTCCTGCTACTCCCAACCATTTTTCTGCCAGGTCTTCTTCTTTGCCTGCCTTGAATGCTGCACATTGGTCAGTACCCATCAAGCGTGGTTCACTCCCATACAGTGAAGTAACTTCGGTCCATGATGGCAACTCTTGGTAGGTGGCATCGGATAGGTGACGAATTTTGGCATTTTTCTGAAGCAACTGTAGGATCCGTTCCTTGTCATGGCCCTCCTTGCGAGACAAGTCCATGTAGTAATCCAGTGGCCGGACCTGTTCCAACGCAGAATGCTTCAAGTTGGGCGCCCCTTCGTGCCCAGAGATTACATTTACTTTTCGTTCGGTGGTTGCATTCTTGTTGTTGTTGTCGGCATCTGTAGTCTTGGTAGTGGTCTTGGCGTTGTCCGCGATTTTCTTCCTGGTTCCACTCTGTTTCTCTGTGGTTTCAGTCGACTTTGTCCCATTTACGACTGTGGCTGCTCTTGCAATTTTTTCTTTCATTCCGAAACTCTTGGCACTTGTCGTTTTGTGAAGAACAAGCTTATCCGCCTGCACTGCCGACGCCAACTGCCGGCCTGGATAAGGTGCATCCGATGTTCTTTGTTCTTTATGGGGGGTTTTCGTCATGGCTCCTTTTTGTTTTGGCATCAGTAACGAGTGTGGCATCATCCCTTTTTGCCGGCTTTGTTTCTCGTCGATAACCATGACGGTTGCTATACCGTAATTTAGCAACGCCAACGCGGCGACAGTGGCACCAATAGACCATAGATACCGATAATGGGCTCGGCGACCGCCTTTGTCGTTCATGGTCCTCTTCTTGTTTTGAGTTTGTCAAAATAGTAAGTAGCTTCTATGCTGATTGTGGCTATGAATGATCCATGAGAGTCATCAACCAGAAGTTGCCTGTGGTTATCTGGACGTTGGCTGCAGGCTAGACTAGCTTGTCGACTTCGAAGTGGTTGACAGCCAGCGATCACAACTAGCTAAGCCTGTGTCCGTGTGACCAGTGGAGGCTAATAACAATAATAATATAAGCGGCAGCATCGTCGCGCAGCAAGAAGCCGTACCGGTACCAGGTACCAGGTACCAAGTACGGTACCACCCGTTCACAACTCTTTCAAGGACTTGAATACGTAATGTATGCAAAAGAGATTACTAATTGATTATATCTACTGATAGTCTTCTGTATCAGCTACTGGCCCGTGTAGCTCGTAATACATATTGTGGTGGAAATCATGCGTGACTGTCGTTGCTTGCCCGATGTTCCTCATCAAGGAAACGGCACCTCCTTGTCGCAACAATCCAAGAACACCCCATCACGGGTTGGACAACACATGTCGGCAAGTGGTATAGCTGAACACTTACTGTGGGAACTACATTTGGCTCCTGCGTTTCGTTCCATCGCTTCGTCATAGTTGCAGCAGTCCAATTCGACGCCATCACCTGAGGGACAGCAATCTCCCTCCAGCCCCAAACTGTCACATGCCGCATGCAACTTGCAGGATGGAAGACAGCAATCCAAGTATTCGTTGTCTTCGGTGGGGCAGCAGCTGCCGGTGAGACCCAAATCACTGCAGACAGGATGGACAGAGCAGGCAGGCCCTGCAGGAGCCATTTGTCGGTCGACAACATCATTCACAAAGTCGCCCCCACCGGTCCCCGCATCAGATGTGCCGCTACCTCCCGATGTGCCTGTTGCGGTCGCGACAGCCGGGGATACGACGTTCTTTTCCGGTGGCTCCACGATGAATGTATACTCTGTCAAGCCTCGGAGAGTGTTTTGGGCATTGGCTGCCCCAATGCACAGGGCCAAGGCGGAAACCAACGTGTTGATCTTCATTATTTTGCTGTGGATGGGTGGATGGATGGCCTGACCAGAAAGACTTGGTAAGAACGATGAACCAGACAATCGCAATAGACGCGATAGATTAATTGTGAGGTTGGTGAGGCAAAACATGCATTCTTTTCCATCACCTGCCTGATCGGCTCTTGTCTATCATCTCGCTGGTACAAGTTGTTCCCGTGGCCATTTCGTCGAGAGATCGTTCTGTGGGTCCCTTCGAAAATCCAAAAATTATATCCCTCCCCCTAATAATGTGAGACCACACTATTCGTTCGACCTGCATCCTCTTTGCACCGCTCACCAGGAGCGTATCTTAAGCAACGGATGGTACTTAGAGAGGGCGTGCGTTTTGGCTATTAGACGCCCCTCTTGGGTTTCCAAGTAATCAAATGCACATGATCTTTTTTGATGATGATGCTGTGCATCCAACCTCGAAGAAGCAGATGATGGGTATGATACAGTAAGCCAAGGCGAGGGCAAGGACTGAAGATAGGAAGCTTTACCAAAAGGAAGACACTTCTTGTAGCACCAATCAAGATGGCCGAGACTTCTTCCGACGAGGAAAGCTACACGGTCCAAACACAAACGGAAGACGACAACAATGTGTGGAAGGCTAGAAATTCGAACAATCATATAATAGATCTTGGGTTTTTATCTCGAACAACAGAGGAATCCGGTACGGGCACAGGCACTACCGGTACTGGAGACTGGCGAATGCCTGGAAAGGACGAAGAAATGGGTCCGTCGGATACCGTTACCCCTCCCACAGAGCAATACGAAGATATTAGCTCATCCGAGGATTATACTACGCCACCGCTAGTTGAGCATGAAAATGAAGATGTGGGTGTGGAAGTGGAGCAGTCATTTCCAAATGAGACTGATCTCTCGCCAGCCAAATTGGGACGCTCTTCCACGCGCATTTTCAATGTGGAAGATCCCGACGCGGATTTGCAGCGACAGGATACCAATGCCGACGATGCTACCTATGGTGAGAGATCCGTGGTGGAAGACATGCGCATCACCAAAGTTGTAGACGAGCAAAACCAAGGAAAATCTGGCGGTTGTTGTGGCTGTGGAAGTCGCATAGCAATCATGATTTGCCTACTTGCGATCCTTGTCATTGCTTTGTGCGTTGTCCTTGTGTTGACACTGACAGATATTTTGGGAACAGAATCAAGCACAACCACCACCACCACCAATGATCGCGTAACCTCGACGGAACCACCCACAACAGTGGCGCCCACACCAACGCCCGTACTGGAACTACCCGAAGACACCTTGCAAGCAATCCTAAATGATCCCACGGGTCCTCAGAAAAGGGCAATGGACTGGTCACTGGTTGACAAGGAAGAGAACCCAGGTGCCTTCTCTAGCGAACGATTGTTGCAGAGGTATGTATTGGCAACCTTTTACTACGCCACGCAGGGAGACGATTGGTCGGAAAACAACGGTTGGTTGACTGGTGAACACGAGTGTAAATGGTTTTCCAGCACACAACGTGAAGACTACGAAGGCAGTGACAGGCCTTGTGATCCCAACAGTGACATCATTACCAACCTCGTTTTGAGCAACAACAACTTGACTGCCGAAGGAGGCCTTCCGACTGAGCTCTTCCTGTTGACTGAGCTCAGACTGCTGGATCTTCAACACAACGGGATTGCCGGAGCTCTTTCACCCGACATTGCCAACTTGGGATCACTGGAGCGTTTGAGACTTGCCAGGAATCAAATGACGGGCCGGTTGCCCAACCAACTCTGGTCCATGCCAAGTCTTCAAATTCTCAGTATCTATTCCAACAGCTTCTCGGGGAAACTACCCCCGGGCATTGGCAGTGCCACCAACCTGGGCCAAATCTGGATCAGTTCCAATGGCTTTGGTGGGCCCCTTCCGTCCGAACTGGGGCTACTTTCTGAGTTGCAAGTTCTCTGGATGGACCAGAACTCGTTCACAGGAAGCTTGCCGACCGAACTAATGGCTTTGCCACAACTCAAAGATATCCTGCTTCATGAGAACAGCATTACTGGACCTCTTCCCACCGAGATTTCTGGACTTGGCAACACTCTGGTGAATCTGGATTTGCGATCCAATCTTTTGGAGGGCCCGTTGCCAACCGAGCTTGGGACCTTGACCAACTTGAATACGCTGGTGCTGCATCAAAACAAGATACTAGGAACCCTTCCAAGTGAAATTGGCGGCATAACAAGCTTGGAAAACTTGTATGTTAGTTCCAACAGCCTTTCTTCAACTATCCCATCCAACATTGGGAACTGTGGAAATCTGCGGGTACTTTGGTTGAATATGAATCAGCAAATGACTGGAACGATTCCAAGTGAAATTGGAAGACTTGGTCGGTTGGAAGGTGAGTTTTATCGAACTTCTCTCTTGAAGCGTGAAAGTCCAGTGGCAACTGGCTGTTTTGCTAAACTCAAGTTATACCTCCTTGCAATGAAACAGACCTGTACTTGTCTCGGAACGCTCTTCACGGCAGAATCCCATCGGAAGTGGGCAACATGAGCAATCTGAAATTCTTGGCATTGCAACACAACGTGGGCCTGGTAGGCAATTTGCCTACCCAGATGGCCTCCTTGACAACTCTTTCCAAAGTCACCCTGAGCCGAACTAGTTTGTCAGGTACCATTCCACAGGATGTTTGCTCGGCTCATGAAGAGGCACTTGTCTTTGACTGCTCGAACTTGTTCTGTGGCTGCGGAGACTGTGACTGCCCCGCGAAGTGAGTCAAGTCAAACGGTCAGATTAGCAAAACCACTCTGAACCATTTATTTACATGTTGGCTACCAATCGCAGAGTATCAAAGTGCTGCGATGCCCCTCCACACTATGTGGTTCGCTGTCTTGAGAAAGCAGTGACTGTGATGGAACGATGGCTTTAGACGTACATGTAGGCGACTTCATAATATATATAGTATAGCATTCACGTAGATCAGTGCTACTGTTGGAGGAAGTTGATCAGAAGACGCATCAGTGGTGAAAGCCGCCGTCAAACTACTGGTAGCACATGGTGTACGCAGCAAGGCTCCTACAGCTTGGAACAATACACAAAGTCTAGATTCCCGTACCTTCACAAAGACTACTACATCACTGTTTGCGTACTGGTACCCGTAGCTAGCGAGTGCTTGTCTCCGCTGTTGGGAATTCTATTCTTACTTCTAGTATTTCATTAGCTAAACAAACTATCTTGCGCACCTCGGTAGCATTCTTGGACAGCACGAGCCCATTGCAGGCTTGTACAGAATGCGGTTACTCTTGTTTCTTCTTTCTAACAAGCTCATCTTGCTGGCTAGCTATCTAGTGAACAGCCAGTTGTGCCAAGCAAAAGCCAAACGCCACAAAGGGAGTGTAGGGAGGCAAAAAGTCCACCGAGAAATCCCCCTCTTGCCAGTGGTGTTGGCGTCCCATTTGAAGGATCGTCTTGCCCGACGATACATTCATGAGCTGCATATTCTTTTTGGACGACAAGAGGGAGCGCCCACCAAACTTTTGTCGAAAGGATTGGACATCCAGGTAGAGTTTGCGCCCTTGTGGGTCGGTGAAGCGTCGTTTGCTCTGAAAGAGTGTGTCTTCGGGGTGATCCTCCACGTGTTTGTGAAAATCTTCGTGATCCCGTGCCTTTGTCGCGAGGGATCGAGGTTGGTTGTCGTTCTTGTGAAGAACCGAGTAGGCAATGCGATCCGGACATCCATTGACCACGGGATAGGAGAGAGATGCTGTCTTGTAGATTGTTGTGGAGACTGGCACGGTTGTACCAGTCTGCTTCCGAAGAAGAATATATCGTACATGGCCATGATGAGTTCCCACTCGTTTCAGTTTTCCAACATAGCGTGGATCCGCGGTAGAAAAGTGCTTTTGCAAGGTGGCAGGAGAGTTGTCATTGTAGACATTAAAGATGGCATATCCACCTCTCCAGTGTCGTTGGGCGACAAAGTAGGCTCGTTGGTGAAAGAGTCCTGTAATTCCTTGTGCATAAAAGGTGACCCGATCATCATTGTGAAGCATACCATGTCGGGAAGAAGCCACAAAAGCAACTCGACCCGTGAGAGGATCTCGGTATTCGGGCTTGCTGGGTTCCGCAAACGGGAGAGGGGCGTTCATGGTCTCGCCATCCACTAAAGGATAGGCATGTTCTTCTGCTTGCTCCAAGACGAGATCTTCTTCTTCATCATTGCTACCCGCGTTGCTGCTAGGCTCGGGTTGGATTTCTTCCTGTTGTAGACCGCCGAGTCTCATGGTGGAACTTGCTAGCGAGTATATTAACTTTGTCAAAAGTTTCCTTGACTTGGGTATGATTATTTTGTGGAGAGTTGAGGGATCCGTTGGCCTTTGGGGTTACTGGAGGGTCATGGGGAATGGTTAGGCGATGATACGGAACTGTCCTTCCCCTCTCCGAGGCTCCAAGAATACTCCGATACACGCTTGTACTTCAAAACAAACTTTTTACTTGCTCATTGAGAATACAGGTACTGTACTGTGCTTCATTCCTTCCTTTTTGTTGTTGGTGGTGGCGATTTTCCTGCTCCCCATCCTATTGAGGGTCAAGGCAAGAAAGAGAATTCCCCAACTCCTTGATTTAATCATTTGATATCTCATGATGACAGTCAGTCAATCCGAAATCAAAAAATAGGTAGTATTTCGGGAGTCTGGGAAATACTCGAAGAAATGAAGAGTTCCGGGAATTTACGTCATACCAACGCACAGTACCGGTACGAGAGCCCCTGAAACGCACGCGGGGTGCTGGTTCAGTGTACTCGTACTTCCGGTTATTAATTTAACTGGGTAGTCTGCATGTGGTACGGTACAGTGTACTATTAAGAGTACGTGGTGCTCGTGTGCAAATGAAAAGAGGGAATGAACACAAAGGTATTTTTGGTTTAGGAGCTTTCCTTGATGGAGAATATTGAGAAATAGTCTTGAAACGCCTTTTCCAATAATACTCAGACACGTGTACTAAGTGAAACTATAGATGTGTCGTCTTTCATTAACATGGATGATCAGGGTTTATTAAAGGCAATCTCGGAGACGGAACTTCTGGATTTTTAAAAAAGTTACCATACGCTTTGAATCTTTGAATACTAGTAAGTACAGTAAGCATCGTCTCGTAGTTGGCGACCCGGAACGTAACGCGTGTGCTGAGCTGCGTGCTACGTCAGCTGTTGACACGGTACCCTTAATTAACGTTAAGTAATATTAGAAGGCACATGTATTACTCGAGTACTAGTATGATGTAGTGGACCGGTGGTTCAGTGCCACTGGGTCTTCCCCAGCTGTTGACACGCTGTCCCAGTACATTATAGCACAGTCCCGGTACCCTTAATTAACGTTACTAGTAGGCACATGTATACATGTACTAGTATTACTCGAGTTTTATGTCGGCCGGTCGTTGAGTGCGCCACCCTGTCTTCCCCATTCCCCAGCTTCCGGTACGTACACACCGGTACCGGTATGGTGTTGATTGGATGTTGGATGGGGTCTGGAGTCTACTAGAGAGTATTCATCAACCACAACCAGGCGTAGGAAGAGCCAAATTCGGGACTAGCTATGTAGAGGTTGCGTGAAAGCAGGGGTAACAAACGGGTAAGGCTGTCTCACCACGAGGACCGAAGTGTCAAGATTGGAAGCAAGGAAGGTTTCCTCCAAGGTCAATGTTTTGCTTATACCGTCATCGCACCTTGTTTGCACTACTGTCTTCATACGTAGCCAGCTCTAGACGTACGGTCTCTGTCAATCTAACAATGCCAGAGTCCTCATACGAGCGGGTTGCCTTGATGGAAAAGATTGAGAGGCAGCTCTTGCTCGACGTTTTCTTGCCCCAAGATGGCCCTCTCCGGTGTTCCTGCTCTTCCAAGAACAGTACGTTGGTGGTGTTGTCTAATGTTTCAGGGTTTGGCTGCTCCTCTTTGTCTGTTGTGGCCTGTGGGAACAACCATGTCCGCCACAACAACTGTAACGGTACCTACCTGATCCGTAGGTAAAGGTTTGTAACTGTTTCACTCAAATTTGCAAAGGAAGCAAGAGGTGAACGGCCACACAATAGGCAAAGCCAAGGGCGGGGAAGAGATAGATATTGCGCGCGACTGGAAGCTATGCCAACTTGGGAAATGTCCAGGCTGGGGCGGGGCTGTGAAATTTCCCACTGGTCCAGTTCAGGAACACAGGCCAACAGGGAATGCATGGAGTTTTCTTTTGCGAGTGGCTTGCGCCGTGCTGGCTGGTTATGTCGGCCCTGCTAGAGACATGGTGGAGCATTACATCAAGAGCTCTGCGAGGAGGGTATCAATGGGTGCCCAGAAGAAACTTCTCAGGGAGATATGCGACAAGGTACTGAAGGTTACCACTGTGCGCAGTCACCTAGAATTTAGGACAAGGAACAAGTACAACCCTCTGCATGTCCAGCAAGGACAAGGATGCCTGTTGTTGCGGGTCCGGTTCGCGGTTGCCACTCCAAGACCGGAGTCTTAAAAATAACTCTGCTGGCTAAGCGAATGAATCAATCGAAAGATCCAAAAAGCGCAAAAGCGCAAATCGCCTCGCCCAGCCTCGACGCATTGTAAGCGACCATCGTCTTTGGGTCTGGTTTGGTTGACCTGTTGTTGGGTACCGGTACCTGTTTGGTTGATCTGTGATTTGTTTGGTTCTGTGTTGGTCGAGCGTGGAGTGATTGGTTTTCCCCTTGTGATTTGGCGCTGCTCCACCTGGTTTTCTTTTCTGTGATTGAATTTCCAAAATGGCCTCGCTGACAACGCCCAAGTCTTGTGGCGCGAACAGCGAGCCCATGATGATCCTCGAGCCAGTGACACCCGATCGCCTTACCAAGAGCGAGCTCCTCACCTCTGGCCTCAACTGTAATGTGATGGCGGAGCAAGTGTTGGGCTTTTTGGACCGTGGCAGCGTTCTCCAGTGTTTGGAAGTGGCGGAATTGTGTGAGCGTTTTGACATCAAGGATCATTATTGTACTCTACATGGCACAAAACTTGAATCCCAGGTAGCGCATCGTAGATTCCTCAAAAAACTCGTTCGCAACGAGGACAACGACCAAGGCGACAACGAAAACCTGGAAGAAAATGAGGCCAACATGGACGTTGATGACAAAGGTGGCAAGGAGGAGAAGACAGCCAAGAAAGATGAGACCAATGAGGTGAAGATTGAATGTGTGGACTGTGTGGAAGCTGAATTTTATCGAGATCGCTGTAATGTTTGTGATCGCTTTGAACCTGTGGATGGTCTGATCCAATGCGGCAACTGCAGTTACCAGGAATGCGGTCCTTTCCTCTGGTCCTGCCACGGCTCCATGGGCTTTTGCCGATCCTGTTTACAGCATGTCTGTGCAAGACCAGGTTGTAAACAATGGGAGTACTGCGACTGTTGTTTTGAGCCACTCTGTGAGGGGTGCGAGGATTTTATGTTCTGCGAGGGTTGTGCAAGGCAGCGGTGCACGGATTGTTTCTATGAGAATGGAATGTGTTGCGACAAATGCAGCGCGGAGTTGTGTGATGATTGTGAATATCAACGCCCTTGTGAAGTCTGCGGCCAAGAACTCTGTTCTAGGTGCACGAGGACCTTTTATTGCGAGGTAGGGAAGCATGGTGTTTGCGAAGACTGCAGCGAACTGGTCGAGTGCGACGCATGTGACGAGGAACATGGTTGCTTGGAGTGCTGCTATCAAGGCTGCTTTCGGTGTGGTGCATGCCATGGAGTTTACTGTCGTGAGGAATGCAAGGACTACATTTCTTGCGAGATTTGCTGTGAAGAATTCTGCACTTCCTGTGACAAGGGTTGGTTTTGCCACGCCTGTCAGGAATACCATTGCTCCGCACATGCTGAATTGTCTCGCTTCCAAGGGTGCGGGAAGGGATCTCAGGACAAGAAGTTTCAGTGCGCTGAATGCCAGACAATGAGCTGCTGCAGCAAGGTTTACTCTTGCTCGGAATGTGCCAAGGAAATCTGTGCCGGCTGCCACGATTTTTTTGGGATATGCTCTTGTGGAAAAGGCAAGTTTTCTCTCAAAAAGCACAACTAATTGGCCAGGCAAGCCAAGAAAAAGACAGCCGCACAAGTGAGAGAGAAAGGAAGGGATTTAGACGGAAACTACACAACACGAAAAGACACAGAAACAACTTGCATACATTCACATTCATTTGATAAAGGGGAGACGCAAGTCGTGAAGGGCATTCAATCGAGATAGAGCCGGGTTCCGGGTGAGTAGTTGATGCATACACACGTTAATATTTTATGAAGAATAGACAACTAAAGTTCGCTAGTAGAGGGGAGAGTTTGGTCGAAAATGAACGGAGTTTTGTGGAGTGTGTGCACTAGCTAGCTATCTAGATCCGTCTTCCTCCCCGATGGCTCTCCGAACGATGCAACCAGTTCGGCTACCGGTACCCCGTCAGTTCTAGTTACATGTAGCAGAGCCAGAACCCGCCAGGCCAGATATCCAAGACGAGGGTGCTAGATTGAAACAGGACCAGTCACCAGCAACACCCTGGGAGGCCCAGAACAAAAGTGCGGCATGGTTTGTGGAATATGTATTGTACAACTAGTAGAATGAGACCTCCTAGATTCTACCTAAGTTCGTTGACTCTATACTTATTCCTAGTATTAAAGTTGGGTGATCCTGCTGCATTTCTACTACGTCTGTTGAATGATTTAATCCTTCTTCTTTCTGTTTTCTACAGCGACGCGGTATCCCTTTACCTTGCTTTCTTGTCGAGCCAAACGCATCGTGGTGAATGCCTTGAATTCCTTCATTTCGTCGGTAACAGCCTCCACGACAACCTCGTGAGCGGGCTTGACAACAGGCATGATATTGCCACGGCTGACAATACCCTCGGTAGGAGCGGCATCGTCCTTCTTTTTCAAAACGACCAAGTTCTTCTTGTACTCTTCCAATCGAGCCACATTGCGATCCAGAGACTCTTGGCACTTGTTGGAACGGCGATGATCCACAGCGATTCCAATGCTTCGTGCGTAGGAGGGGTTCAGGCCAGCACCCTTGATTTCTGCCAAGGTGAATCCACGTCCTAGGCGTTGCTTGGCGGAGTAACGTTGTGTCTGGCAGTGAACCACGGGCCTCAACATCTGCAGAGGACGGGGGGCAATGGCGGCAGCCTTCTTGGCCCGAGCCAAACGACGAGCCTTCTTTCGTGTGGCTTGGTTCAAGTTGAGCCTAACCTTCAAGGGACCACGAGAAGACTGAAGGTACTTCTTGTGGCAATGGATGTTCGGGATGATATTGTTGTGCTTCACCATCTTGAGATATTTATTAAACTAATCAAGAAAGAAAGAAATATAGGAGATTTTGACTACAGCGAGCAAAGAAAGGGTAGCAGAAAGGAGGGTGAGTTATATTGAGCGCGCGATAAGGCCGCAGCTCGTTGGTTCGACCAAACAAGCGGCGTCACATCATCTTACCTCGACCAGGAGTTCAAAATATCACGGAGCTCTCAAGGGAGCAGGAGGAGGACGATGCCATGGAAGCAGCCACAGCCGACAGAAAAATCAGTAAGAGCGAGAAGCGGTAATGCTAACCTTAGCACTAATATAGCCTTAAATTTATCCTTATTCTGCACCGGTCGAAGCCTTCCTCCTCACAATTTTTTGGCGATTTTTGCTCACTTCCTGCCTCCGTTTGGCTGTGGCAGGTTCAACTGGGATGTAGCCCCTGAACAAAAAATGGTAACGTGACGAGAGGAGTACACTTGCACTGCATGGACAGGACATAAAAAGATTGGAAGCATTTTGTTTGGCTTACAGCGTATCATACCTCGGTCAGAAGACATTGATAGATTTCATCTGGAGGTTCCTGAATTCAACAAGATACCATCAACTCAATTCATTAGTACCATGTCGGTTCAACCATATTCCATTTTCTCCACCATCAACACAACAAAGGCCATTGACGCACCAGTATCAACTGTCTGGCCTGTCCTTCGTGCCATGGATGAGTGGAACACGTTTTCGGAAGTGTTTGACATTGCGTTCAAAAAGGGTGACCGAGTCGTCGAAGTAGGGCAAAAGATTATCATCATGTCACCGCAGCTTCCCGTCAACACAGTGGAACAATACGACGAAATCATTGAAGAGTCCAGAATCTGTTGGACGCTGCGAGGATTCCAATTGCTCGGTTTGGGCAGTCCCCCCGTGCTGTCGCCACCCATCATTTTGAGAACGCAGCGGTGCATCGAGCTGTTTGACGATGGCAGTGGCGGGACCATTTTGCACAATTGGATCTCCTATGCCGGGTTGGGGTGGCCTTTTATCTGTCTTATCTTTGGAATGTTGAACAAAAGTGTATTCAACGAATTCAACTCGGAGTTGGCGGCGCAGTTCTAGCAATCCAGGAGCAAGTGCCGTGATTGCTAGATTCGATTCAGGCAGAAGCTGAAAGCTGAAGCAATTATTCTAACTCGCTGGCTGTTTGTTGACTGGGAATACAGGAACGCCTGCTTTTAAAGGGTTGTTGTATGATATCATTGTAGAAAACGTGAAGTGGAAACAAGCTAGCCAGTGTGGAAAACAAGTATGCTCGACAGGGCAGGTGCTTTGGAGTTTGAACCAACATTCTTGTACGGTACTCATGCAAACGTCTACGGCAAACTATATAACGGTGGGCGACACGTGAAGAAACCACGGCTCCATTCTGGTCGCTTCATTTATACATGTAGTCGAGGTTTTCTACTCCAGAGTGGCTAGTGCATGTATGTAGTCAAAGTGGCGGCCCTGTGTAGTCTGTCACCTGCGCGCGGTCATACAAAGCGGCAAGACCAATCCGTGTTCCATTGTCATCAAAGACATGCCATATCCAGATGGTTGCAATGACAAAAAGCTTCTCCTTGGTTGTCCTTCTAGTGGCATCTCGGATGGTTCCATGCCCAAACGTATTAATGCTCTGAATCAATTGTTCCCTGTCGTCCATTAAGGATTCCACAGTACTATACCGAGAAGGGGTTTGGCACAAATCTTCAATGGTGTTATCGAAAAGCTCCAAAGCAGCAGCGTTTCCGTAATTGTAGATGGGGTCTTCTTGAATTCCGTGTGATAAGATACCAAATCGTTTGTTTTGATCGAGCTGTTCGGCAGTTGTAATGTTTTCAATTGCAGGCAGATTGTTGTTGTTGGCTGTCGAAGCTACTTCCTCCCAAAGCATGTCGTTGATTCTGTCAAAGATACCCTGACCGCTGGACTGTTGGAATCTTCCATGTATGTGAAGTAATAATAGGATACCGTGCGAAAGTGAATCAACGACGGGATGCATCGCCTCGAGAAAGCAGCACATGGACTGAAACCTCTATGGCGGTACTTACGATTGGTCCAAGAGTCGGATATGATTCGCAATATCCTTCACACACCCGCCAGTATTTTCGGGTGAGTAGTCGTCTTCTTCGGTGAGTACTTCACCACCAACTGAACCCGAACAGCACAGCCTCCCTCTTTGACATTGTGCGAGCTGATTGTCAATCTTTTCATCAAAGGCTTTCGTGACATGGTACTTAATGGGTGCTTGGTAGCCAATGGTGCGATAGGAGATTCCTGTTGGATGGAGGAATGCTACGGCAGAAACGACTAGAGAAATGAATACGAAGATAACCCTGATAATGCTCGCTGCCATGGCTCTCATTTTGTTTGCTGTGATCGGCAGCTTGGTGGTTGGGCAAGTCGGTCGAACAGATCGGTGGCATCCAAAGTTGAGAGATCCTAAGGCTTTTTAATCGCGCGAAAAGATATGGGTGCCGGATGGTACCGGTACAGTGAACAGTACGACTGTACCGGTTTTGCTAGGTGGGAGGTTGTTGGAGACTGCCATTCACGCTACACAGCTACCGCTACCGGTAGCTAGAGGACCTCATCTCACGCAGAAACTTATAGCTAGCATAGCAGTAGGTCCATGTTAGGTGCCATGAATTTGTAGAAGAACAGAGGCAGCTCCATCTGGAGTACCTTGCATTATGGCGTTCCAGGCAGGTGGTGGATACGACGTACAGCCACTCACACTAAGGCCCCATGCATTTGTACGAAAACAGAGACAGCTCCATCTCCACTTTCGTGTCTTGCATTATGGCGCTCAAGTAAGTAGTCCTTTGGGAGCCCATACGATTTTAGCAATGGGAGCTCCTCTCAAGCTAACCGGGAGTGGCCTGTTTTCTGGGCCCCCGACAAATGAACATGGCTTCCTGCAGTGCTTTTTTTAAATCAGAGATTCGGCTCCGACGGGCCAACCTCGCGATCGCTTCGTTGGGCTGCTTTGTTGATTGACTCAAAAGCCAGCTGCACGGGGAGTATCATTCCTCCAATAATCTTGGATACGATGTGCCGTTTCAACTAATCTTGGATACTATTTCAATTGGCTAGTAGTGGAAGAATGCCCCCCAAACAAACTGTGGAAACCGAAACAACATTGACAAGCCTAGCTTTTAAAACGTTGCAACTAATAAATGTTGCAGATTTCCTCTTAGGGGGTTGCCAAGGAATTTGATGTGCCTTTCCTAAACAGAAAATTGTCGGAGTTTGCCAATCCCTTTCGTAATCAGTGAAATTCTTTTGGCCCTTTGTGGATCGATTTGTGGATTGAATACCCCAAACACATATTTTTCATGAATTGTCGTTATCCCCTGAAAAATCCCAGTGGAGTCAAGTCTCGTGGCAGGCTTGAAAAAGATGTCGCATCGAAAAATTGGAACTTTTGTCTGGCTCTTTGATGATTTTCGTTTTCCAATTACTTGTCATTCCATTGGTGATTGCACTTAGTACATTTGTAAAAGACACTCATGGGCTCATCCGCACTGAATAAATGAAACAAGGAGGGTAGACCAACGGTGTAAGATACCAATTCATGAACAAATCCAACCATGATCCACAATCAATCTGCATACCTTCGAATCTGCATTTGCAAAAAGTAAGCTTCATTGTGTCCGCAAGTGGGACAAACCGCCATGGTACGGTCCACATTTTCCCAGGCCGTTGCTCCTCCGAGAATATCGTCGACTACCTTTCGTTTCGGATACGTCTTGAGGGTACGAGGAGTCGTAATAGAACTCGAATAGGGACACGTCGAACAGTAAAAGTGGCTGTTGGGTCCAGGTCGAACCTGGAGTAGAGTACCATCCAGGGGGCAGAATAACATGGTGTTGCAAGCAAACTACTGCAAGGCTACCGGTCCGGTATCAGGTAGGATACAGAGGTTGTCTTCGCCTCTTTTGTTGAACCCATGCCGAAGTGAATGACTGGCAGCAGCGGCTTGGATGGAAAAAAGAAGCCAAAGGGGAGCGTGCGAGTGTGAGTCGCGCAGTGTCACGCGGCAGGCAAAGAAGCAGCAATCAAGTTTTCTTCCGGAGCTTTGTTTTCTCCGCTATTGAAAGTGGAAAATTGTATCTTCCCATGCGAACCCTGGAGTTTGTGTGATTGCTTTCATCAATCAAGGACGGGTGCAATCGAAGAAGACAACACAGACTTACCCCTCACTGATGGGAGAATATTCCAGTATGGATATTGCTAACTAGAATAGAGCCCACTTGGATGCAGCAACTGCGTTGATATCTTCATATTATCCACTCTCCTGGTAGAGCAAGAAAGCCAACAGAGGGACAGTAGATATATCTACGGTATCTTGGGGCGGGGCTCATTGGGATCAGGGGACACAAAGGGATCAGCTTGTGTGACAGGGTCCTGTGAAGGTCCAACAGAGCTTCCCGTACTGGTTGGGATATGGACACAGCCCCTTGGAGGCAGTCTACATGTACCAATGCCTGCGAGAATCACGAATAACTTCTGCTAAAGCAACGGTTGCTGATTACGGTACCGTTACGCATCGAGCCAAACCTTGATAAAGAGGAATTAAAAATCCATGAATACAGAAAAGAAAGAAATGCAGAAATTGATGTTCATGCAGGCTTCAGATGCCTATGTTGCTTTTATCTAGAAGGGTATCCAGATGTCTCTCATCTCTCTGGCTAGCAAGCTTCCGGTAGCTAGATAGCCCATGGCCAGCTAGCCAATATCTACCCCTATCGGTACCTCTGGTGTATGAGTGCTTTAGAAAAGCAAAGATGTGAAATAGGATATTCTGTACGGTTGCACCCCTCAAAGCCTGCCGAATGGTCTTCCCAAACAATTTGAGAGGTTGCTGAAACAAGGTGTCAGCATTCGTTGGCCTTGATAAATTGCTCCGAAGTACCTAGCTAGCTAGCCTAGCTAGCTCCTGGCTCTAGTAGTACCATGGTATTTGATAGTAGTGCTCACAGCTGCCAGAAGCAGAGCTCCTGCTGCCGCCTGCCCCTGTGGAAGGCGCTTCCCGGCGTTTTGCGTTCGGTCTCATTTTTTGGGTTCCTCGCCTTGACATCATCCGTGATTTTTTGAAAAGCTCACGATGCCTCCAAACATCAGTGCCAACAACAACACAACCGAAGATAATAATATCACCATGGCTACTACGGAAGAAAGAATCCCTCTAAAGTCTGGCAATGGGTATGGATCTCTTTCCAGAAAAGATGATGACACGAATAAATCTCCCAACCCGGGATCTGCCAACAACTCTCGCAAATCTGCCTATTCCCGTCGACGCAGTGAATCCGGGGACAACTACGCCTCCAAAGCTTCCCATGTCCTAATGAAGACGCAAACATCCATGCTGGAAGATGCTCGCACATTTGCCGAAGGTAGCATCCCCCACAGTATGGCTCTGGGCACAGTGATTGGAATTGTTTGTGGTGTTGCATCCTTTGTCTACTATGCCATTCTCTTTTGGATCCTGGAATTTGTCTGGAATGATTTGCCTCAGATGATTGTTGTGGACAAATGGCCCGAATGGGCATATCCACTCTGGATCCCCCTTGTCGGATTCACCATGGCTATCGGTGTTGGAGTGACTGTGATATACATGGGTGAACCAGGCGATTTGCCATACACCATTAAATGTGTTCATGATGATGCCTATGTCGCCATGAGTCATGGTATGTACCGTATTGAGCAAGCAAGCAACACGCCAAAAACGCAATATCATGAAAGAAACTTGCTGTCCTAGCTAACTGACTATTCCATATTTCTTTTCTTTCTATTTCCAGTAATGCCAATGGTCTGCGCCTCTCAGTTTTCCATTATTGGTGGAGGCTCCCTGGGTCCAGAAGCACCATTGGTTGCCATCTGCGCTGCTTTGGGTGGTTTCATCTCCCGAAAAGTATTCAAAGTCAGCGAAAGAAACTTGGTTCGAAAGCACACTGTACGTATGATAGTAGTGTTGAGACTTTTTGGACTTTGTTCTGCCAACTTGTCTCTACCTTTTTGGAAAATGCTACCCATCCCATCTCATCGCCTTCTGTTCTTTGTCTCAATAACTATTTAGTTGATGGGAATGGCTGGAGCTCTTGCTGCATTTTTCGGATGTCCTTTGGGCGGTTCCCTCTTTGCATTGGAAGTCAACTCGAGGTTTGGAGTGGAATATTTTGAGCACACGGCGGAAGCTCTGTTTTCCGGTTGCATTTGCTTGGCGGTGTTTCGGCAACTCGCAAATCTCCCCATTGAATCCATTTGGGAAATTTCCTTGCCGAAAATGGAAAACACGTCGGCATTGGATGTCTGTTATGGAATCTTTCTTGGATTGATTGGCGCCTTAGTGGCCGTCGTTTTTGCCAACTTGCACTGGAAAGTCATGGAACTCTTTCAAAAGCTGGATTTGCTGCGGAACGAACGAGCCATCTGGAGAGGTCTCTTTGGATCTATTGTTGTGGTTGGCCTAGGTCTGTTGGTCCCACACACAATGTTCTGGGGAGAGTTTGAATTCCAAACTATTTCTACAATGAGCGCTGCGTCAACTCTGGATCACATTTGGCCTACGTACGGTCTGACGCGCTTTGAAATGGACTCTTGGTGGACCGCTTTGATTGTCGGTTTGGCAAAGATGGTGGCAATCTCCTTCACAGTTGCCGGTGGATACCGTGGTGGTTTCATTTTCCCTCTCATGGCAACGGGTGCTGCCTTTGGACGGGTTATTTATTACTTCTTTCCGTTTATCCCCGTTCAGCTCTGTTGCCTCTGCATGGCGGGAGCCATCAACGTTGGTATCACCAGAACCGCTATTGCGACAACTTTGATTCTGTCCTACCTTGCCGGCGAACAAAACAGCATTGCTCCAATTTTGGCAGCCTCGTTGGTGTCCTTATTTGCGACAGGTTACATGCCATTCATCAAGAGTCAAGTTCTCCGCAGTGACATCGACGTGCTCTACGATGAAGCGTCGGATGACGAAGAATGGGACAGCAACCATCCACTCCATCCTGAGGGGCCATTCTTCAGTATGCCCAAGCCTGAAAATGCGCACCACCACAAGGTCCCCAGTCAAATCACTACTGAACAACAAAACGTTGTGTAAGTCCAGGCAAAAGCTGCTGCTGCAACTCCTACTTTGTGGGGACGAACATCCACCGAACCAAGACGATGACGGAAGTTTTATTTGAGAGTCATTTGATTGTGCTTGCAACAATACATCCACGATTGTGTTTACTTAGTTTACTTGTAAGTGTAAATAATATAAGTCTAATGCCTAATGTGAAATGAGAGATCAGAGTTCTTCCGTTCGATAAACAATCTTCTTTCAATCAAAAGCGCAGCCGGTACGTTTCCGCATGGATGCGGTGGAAGCTGTCACAGTCCAATTTGTTGCGCTGACAGTGAAAGAAACGTGTTCTGTGTTGCTGGCTAGAGAAAGGAGCGATACTACTGGCGTGGCTTGTGGAGGACTCGAATCATGGAAATTGGAAGAGTCGAGTCCTTCATGGAAATCGGAAGGATCTTGGGTGCCACTGCCCGCCTCGAGAAGCGCAGATATGTGGTCTCGAATTTGATTCATTATTCAGGTAGACCGCCGATCTTTATATCCAACAGATAATGGTTTGCCACCTCCGTTCTTTGGCTACGACTTTACGGATTCCTTTGGGTGTCTTAACGTCTTATCCCTACGAGCATTGGTTTGATGCTTCAGGGTGCTTGACTGTGCTTGTTGCCATAGTTGTTGTACTGGCCCCTTTCAAGTCGCTCAATCGTCGCCACCAACGTTGAATGTGACCTTCGGGCTCTTGGTGCTGCCGGTGTCGTTGGTGGGTTTCTTGACACAACATCTCGGGGTAACTTGCTCCGCTGTTCTTCTTGTCGTATTGCTGCCCTGGAGCTTCTGGACAGTTGAGTCCTTGGTTGAAGTGCCGTTGCTTCCGGGCAGACTTCGATGTCTGGCTCTCTTTTTGCCCCTCTTCTGCTCTGGTCTGCCGGGGCGTCCTTTGGACCACGAGGATGTGACTTCGGCTTGAGCTCTTGAGGGTCGTCCTTTCCATTGCTCCCCTGGGTATCATCTGACTGCCAGCAGATATGGCTTTTACGTTTTGATTCTGGTTGATACGAATAGGGTTCTATAAACACCACACTGGACATTTTGTGGAGTGCATGAAGGCTTCGTACGTGAGCCACAGTTGTCGCACTCGACTGGATTACGATCTCGCAATGTGTGATTGCGACCTGGAGACCGGGATATGGCCTTTGCGCTGGTGCTGATGTCTGGATTGGCCCTGCAGAGACTTCTTGTTTTTGCTGCTGTTTCTATTGTTGACAGGCGTTGCCGCAGGCGCTTCTCTTCTTTCGACCTCTGATCGGCGCCCTGGCGGCACCTTCCAAACTACGTGCTTTGCTCCTTATAGCGACCATTTCTTTGTTCGAAACATGGTCCCAGTGCTTCACCAAATATTCATTGATATTTTGTGCCATTTGTGCCAAGACTCGTTGCTTCCATCATGGTCACAAGTCTTTGGAGCGACGTGCTAGTACGACGACCCAGTATCATACCGTACGGTACCGGTGCTGGTGTGCCGGTAGCAACAGTGGTGAAAGCACGAAGTCACTGGAGAAATTTTTTAATGTGGGGAGACATTGCATCAAGGAGTTTTCGATTTCAGCGGGCTTGGGCTAGCAACTTGTACAAGGTCGTGAAACAACGGAGCCGCATCACAGTCGGTGATTATAGAGACGGAACTTTGACGTTCATCTCCCTGATGATGGTTGCAAGCTCCAAGGAGACAATCTTTGATTAGCCTAAGCGTCGCATCAATTCGCTTTCTCTGGCCGTGATCCATGGAGCGTTGCTAGCCAAGCTGTTCAGGCTACGACAATAGTAACTAGTTGCGTCAACAGGACAACACAACCGCAAACCAATGTCCTGGCCCCGGCTGGCTTCCGTAGATAATTTCCCTACTCTAAACCCCCTTATATATATATATGTTTTGCGTGGTCTTGGCTTCAGATCAATCGGGCGGACGCGCGGGTTATGAGCAGATTGATTTTGTGGCGCCCGATGAACCAACTGGCTCTCGGGAGTCTTTTGATGGCTTGAGAACCGCAAACTTCCAGAGTTCGCCTTCATCGGAAGATTTCATGGTGTCATCAAATGAATTGGTTTCAGTTGATATTGTTAATGAGACTGCAATTATTGAAGGCGCAAGTTCAGAGTATTGAGTATTCATTCCTTCAACCATTTGTTTTGTTCCATTGTTTTTAATCGAGCTAGCGAGCAAGGGTATCTTTTTCCTATACCTCTCCAGTTTGAAGTCTACCGTTCTGATTGTCTTCAAGCCAAAATTGATTGATTTGTCAAGATGATGATGATGAAATCCAACTCCATCCCAGCATTGCTGCTGGTACTTTCTGTGCTCTTTATTGGCCACACAGACGCCATGAGCCATAGAGGTTTTGCGGGTGCTCCTATTGCCTATCCAAGTTTCGGTGGGTCCCCTCTGGTGCGATCTGCTCACAGAAGAAGTACCCGAAGAAGTGCAGCAGCATCCTCCTCCACAGCACCACAAAGACCCACTGGATTGGATTTTTTGGAACCTGATGAAGTGCAGCTGTGTTCGGTATGTCAGAAATTACACATCAATCCACAGATAGATTGATAGCCGGCAGAAAATGCGACAACACAAAGTTTCTCATTCCTTGATGCTTCATTCGTGTTCTGTTTTTTTCTTTTGTTTTGGCAGGCCAAAGACTTGGGAATCAAGCTACTCAAAGGTGCCTTTCTTCGGGTGGCATCCGATCTTTCGGGTGGTACTCCTCTGGAATCCATCAAATGTCGTGTCACAACCACAATGGATGGTCCCGTTGCTGCAACACGCAATATTATCAAGGAAGGTGGATTCTTTGCTCTCTGGTCGGGAACTCCCTCCAGAACTGTAGAAGGTACGTATGCCAAAAGAAAAAAGCAACAAACTACTCACTCACTCACTCACCCTGACACTACTCGAAATGAACGTCAACCAACCAACAACAACAAAATCTGACCTTTGCCATCATTATTGCTTTCTTGTTTGTACGGTATCTACCTCAATAATCGCCCAGGTGCACTCTTGGGCGCCGTCTTTATCTTGGGTTCTTCCTTTACCAAGACGCGTTGCAAGGCATTGGGTGCCGGTCCCCTTGTCTGTTCGTTGGCAGGAGGTCTCGTGGGTGGCGTTGCCCAGTCCGTTGTCATGACACCGGCTGGAATGATCTTTACCAGTCTAAATGTCAATGCCGGACGCAAGGGATATGAAAACGACAATGCCATTACCGTCACCAAACGCATCTTGAAGGAAAAGGGGTTGGTTGGCATGTACTGTGGCGTCCAACCCATGATGTTACGACAAGCCACCAATTGGGCCTCCAGGGCCGGATTTACCGAAATTTGCCGTACCACACTGAATATGGGACAATATGGTGTCATGGGAGAAATTGCCTCGGGTGCCATTGGTGGTATTGGATCCTGTTGGAATACGCCTATTGAAACAATTCGTGTCTTGATTGCCAAGGATGTCAGTATGGGCGTCCCCGCCAAGAGTTTTGGACAGTACTGGTCCGATATGGTAGAAGAACAAGGATATCAAGGACTCTTTCGCGGTGTCACACCACGAGGTATTCAGGCCATTTGGCAAACAGTCTTTATGGTGGTGGTCCCCAACATGATGGGACTCTAGCTAGACAGGAAGAAGACAGGACATCTGATGGTCTCGTTTTTTGCCTTTATTTCATATTGAATGTCAGTTTTTCTATAGTCTAGTCTACCGGTATGCATAGAGAGCAGCCGTCTTCGCCTGAGACAGTCTGTTTGTTTTGCTTTCCTTGGGTTTTCTAACAACCCGACGGATAGGAACTGGCCACATAGCTATCCAGAGGGGTCCATCGTTTTCGACCTACCAGAATTCCATTCTCATTAAAGCGCTTCCTGGGTCTGCTGTGGGCACTGCATGCCACTGATGGAAGCAATCATCAAGATTGGGACCCGGCGTTCAATCGACGAATTGTAACTTGCCCTCGTCGATATCAATGGTCATGGCTCGTCCATCCAAGAAGGCCAATCCCAAAACAATCAAATTGCCCTTGAAGCGAGGCCATGGTGTGGCATTCCCCAAGGGTGTCGTGACGGGTTTGGTGGCCGACAGGTGCACTTCTTGTCCCTCCTTTGTTTTAAACCCAACTGTGACTTGTCCCCACAATGATTTTTCTCGGTTCTTTCGAGCTTGCAAGTACCGTCCATCATACAATTCCTGAGACACGACCATTCCTGTAACGCCTGTATCAAAGATCACGTAGGTTGGTTGTTTCTCGGAAAGATACAGGGGCAACCCATTGGCTTCAAAGCGACAAGCCTTGGCAGTGTAGTGTACCACAGGAGCCTTGTAGCGGCGATTCAAATCTCGTACCAGAGGAACATAGTCATCGCCTTCAGCAATCATGGGTTGTTTGGAGAGTACCAATTTTGGATTATTATTGGACCTCAAATCCACACAAAAGCTTTGATAGTTGGTTTGCCCCAAAAACGAAGGTCGTATCCAGCTGTCTGTTTGTTTGATAAGTCCCAGAAATACCCCTCCCGGTCCATCCATGATATCGGGACCCAACACTCCAAAAACCACGTCTTGAGCAGTTTCTTGCGGTTCCCAGGAGAACTCTGCTTTGCGCCAAACCACTGTGCCATAGTTGTTATCAAAAGCCTCGACAGTATTGGCGTATCCACTGTCTCGTGTCCGTTCGGGATGATAACAGCCCCAAATATATTTGTAGGCCCACTTGTTGCAAGTAGACGGGACCGTCAAGAAGGGACTTCCCGTATCGACAATGGCTCCAAAGCGTTCTCCAAAGAGGGTAAAATGAGCGACATAGGCGCTCAAAGAAGGAATATATTCCAATGGAACAGTGGTTGTCTCGTCGAGATCAGGAGCTGCCAGGGTAAGAGTTGGCGGCAGCAGGAGAGGCAGACAGCTACTGATGGCTTTTCGACGAGAAGTGTCACTGACTTCTTTGGCTTGGCATAGTCTTGTGCTATCGCTATCCGGTCGATACCCCAGCGCACCAGAGAACCCAGCAGCTTTCCAAACACAACAGCAAAAGAAAACCCACAAGGGTACATATCTCTGCTGCATGCTCTCCGTCGCATTAATATTGAGGTCGCGATGGTACTAGTACTCTATCAGCGAGTATCCAAGCCATTCCGCTGTTGGGTTGGATTCTGGATCCTGGGAAGGTGATGGTAGGACTGTACTAGCTAGCTACTGTAGTACACGTAGTAGACGGCAAGCACGTGTTGCATTCACCGGATGTTGGATCCAGAACCCAGCATCCAAAAAGATACTGTCCAGCATCCAGAAGTACTGCTCCTACCGGTACGGTCTACGGTACGACGTACTGGTACCAGGTACCAGTACCCAAAGTTTTAGCAGCTGTTTTGGCCCAGTGCCCTTTGTCCTCTTGCTGTACTCCTTTTCAAGGTTTGCACAGCATCCAGACTTCTTACAGTATCTCTCTCGAGAAAATATTTATGGAAGCGGCGATGTCTTGGAATTGGGGAGCATCTTCGGAAAAGCAATGAATCAATGATAGATGTACTTGGATCTGATCCAAGTAGTCTACTAGTAGGTCTACATGCCCACATCGGAGCCGAGAGCTGCCAGCAAAACCTTTAGGACATGATACGGTAGCAAGGTAATCTATCAAGGGGAAGCAGAAAGCACTTTTTATGCCTCGCGACTCTGCGACTCTCACTTTGACTTTGGAACGATTCGATTCGTTTCGATTCCTCAGAAAAGTGAGACTGTGCATGTATGCATGTAGGCATAGCTGGGAAAGGCACAGAAGGCACAGCGCTCTGGTAAGCAATTGAACAAGCAGCACTTCAAACACGAGTACACATGGACATGTTCAAAACACCCGCCATTTAGCCACCACTCAGTAGCCATCTAGCTAATAGCTTTTCTGGGCATTTATTTGTGATTAGACCGCCAACCATCATGAACACTCCCGATAAAGTATTATAGGATTTCGGAATTATGACTTGATTCCTTTAAATCTGACATTTGGCGAGACTTAAAGTGTTCCGAGTAGAGAGATAAAAATTCCGACATCTACGACAATCCACGACATCACCTAAATAATACGTGATTCTACGACATTAATGTCGGAATTTACGACATTTATTATATCTCTTTGAGTAAAGACTTAAGTTTCTTTTAGACTTCAGTCCTGGTAAACAACTTTTCCGGGAGTGTTCTGGCATTCCATATTCCATGTACAGATGTACTTCGCCCCTCTCTTGCTTTGGTTTTTCGGCCTTGGCATTGGAGTTTCGGTCCGCCAGCGACTATTACTAGTAATGGTGCCGTACCGGCACAGCTACCGGTACTAGCTAGCTATTAATAGTAGGTACCAGTCCGCCCCTCGCAGCTTCTTTCGTGTCCGTAAGCTGCCCACAACATGTCTTCGTCTCCATGCGCTTACGGCTGCGCTTGTATCATTATTTGTAGATTTGTAGGCCCTGCAGACATGCCATCATCATAAAATTTGTCAATAGCATCTTCAGCATCGGACTGCAAGCAACAAGAATGACACCAAAGGAAGTAGAAGCAAAGCTGAAGCCAGAACGCTTCATCAATGAACAAGTTGACCCCGAAGCGGGTGCCGTGGACTCCTGCAACTTTGGCTCTAACGTTGATCCTAATGATGATGAATGTCAAGGAAGATCCAGCAATCATGAAATCGACCAGGATGAGCTCAGCATGACAAGCAAGGAGACCAGTCGAGTTCGCATGCTTCGTGTGATGGTGGCAGGCATGCTGGTAATGACAGGTCTTGTCACCGCGATTGCCTATTACTTCTTGAACGGGGAAGAGTACCAGAACTTTGAGACAGCTGTAAGATCCGATGAGGCTCGGGTATGGTTATTGATCACCCCCATCTCATCACTGGCTACCCTTCTTCCTTACTGTTGCCCCCACCCCGAACCCACAGTATTCACAGTTTGCTCGCACTCTTGGTGATGCCGCTCTAGAAGAGCAGAAGAAGATCAAGGATGCTCTTGTCACCCTAGCTACTTTTGTTACCACCTATGCCGAGACAAACAATCTGGAGTGGCCATTTGTCCTTGTGCCCATGTTTGAAGCTTCGGCCAGGAACATCTTTGAATTGTGCAGCACTGAGTACATTGGCATCCAAAATGGTGTTCCAAATGAGAAGGTTGACAGATACCTTGAGTTCATTGGTGCAAACTATGAGGACCATGTAAAGGAGTCCCACTTGTTCAAGTATGGGAATCTAAATCTCCTTGACACCAACACTTCTCTCTATAGGCCATACTTTGCCAAGAAAGCCAAGGAAGGAACACCCCTCTTCCCGAAGGATGATGATGACCGTGATGTCTACTGGGTCCGTGGTACCATGCAATCTCCTCCTATGCGTTCCTATGCCCCCATGATCAATTTGAACATTGCTACCATTGGAAACAACCTGGCCCTGTATGATTCCCTGGTGAACCTTCGCTATGAGAGTCTGTACTCAACAGTCAGGCCATTTACAGCATTGCCAGCTGATGAACATGCCAAGATCCACACTGGCGATGCTGGGGTGCTGCATCCTCACACATTTGTCCATCACCCCATCTTTGAACGAGTCCATGATCCAACCTCCAAGATCGTGTCTATCATAACATTCACAACTGCATGGGATGCTTCCATGAGGAACCTCCTTCCTGATAATGTCAATGGCATCCTCTGTGTGATTAAGAACACCTGTGACCAGGTCTTTACTTATGAAGTGAATGGAAATGATGCCTTCTACCTGGGCGATGTGGACATCCATGATCCCAAATACGATGATTTGGAAGTCATGGTTGACCTTTCATTGCACACCCACCAAGACTTTTCCACTACTCCAGGGCATTGCAAGTACAGTATGGTGAGTGGCAGGGAGAACAGCTTGTGGCATACATCGACAAATGTAGCTGACAATTGATTTGGTCCCCCTTCAGCACATCTACCCAACAGACACATTCAAAAAGGAATACGCAACACAAATGCCAGAAACTTTTGCTGTCACGGTGGCTGCGACATTTGCACTTGTGGCTATAGTGTTCTTTGTTTATGACTACCTTGTTCAGCGCAGCAATAAGGAATTGACAAAGCAAGCTGCTAGGTCTGATAGGCTAGTTTCCTCCCTTTTCCCCAGGGGAATCAAGGAGATGATCCTGGAGCAGCAAGATATTCCCACGCGCAAACAGAACAAGACAGTCGCAGCATCTGAGACCACTGATAGTTCTATTGCTTCCAGCAATAACCAACAGTTTTCACCCATGGCACAGGTCTACAGCAACACCACAATTCTGTTTGCCGATCTTGCTGGGTTCACTTCATGGAGTTCGACCCGTACACCAGCTGAAGTCTTTGAGCTGTTGGAGACCTTGTACAGTGCATTTGATGCCATAGCCAAGCGCCAACAAGTGTACAAAGTTGAAACTATTGGAGACTGGTAAGTCTTCCTTTCCTTCCTTCTTTCAAATTAGCCATTGTACTCTGGTCCTCCTCGCTCTAACCTGTTGCTGTTTACTGATGATGGTCCATAGCTACGTTGCTGCAACAGGACTTCCCAATCCACAGCAGGATCATGCTGTCATCATGGTCAAGTTTGCTGCAGAGTGCATGGCCAAAATGGGCCGCTTGATGGCTGAGTTGGTTGAGAAGTTGGGTGAGGATACTGCCAACCTGCAAATGCGCGTTGGACTGAACAGTGGGCCAGTAACGGGTGGGGTGTTGCGTGGAGATAAGTCCCGTTTCCAGCTCTTTGGGGACACAATGAACACAGCAAGGTAAGGAGAGGAACTGCTGGACTGCTTCACCGGGACCCTTGCTCCTTCAAATCTGCTGCTGACTCTAGATCCTGCATGCATTTCTCTGTACTAGCCGGATGGAATCCAATGGGGTGGCTGGTTGTATTCATGCTTCTCAGGCTACTGCTGATGCTCTCACTGCAGCAGGAAGAGAAAGCTGGTTGGCCCCACGTGAAGAAAAGGTGGTGGCCAAGGGCAAGGGAGAGCTTCAAACTTACTTTGTCTCTGTTCCTATGAAGCCAGAGAGGAGCAGTACAACAGCCTCAATACCTGACCAAAAGAACTTAGTGCAATTGCATGAAGACGAACTAGGGGAGGGCTCTTATTAAAATAAAAGATGGAATGACTTCAATTGGAGTGTAGGTTTGGCGAAAACTGAAATGCAACTCCCAAAACATCACCACTAACCAATCAGTAGTACGCGGATCTGCGGTCGGTTCTCAGCTTGGACAGTACCAATGTTGACGTTGTTTTTGCGTTGGCCGGCTGCCAGACCGTATTACTGGTGATGCCAGGTGCCAGGAAAGGTCCAGCCAGGTGCCAGGCAAGCCTCGCTGTGTGGTGCTTGTGGACCATGGGGGCTTGTAGACGACTTCCGCCTGTCGTACCGTACTGCAGCGCTTTTCAGTTTTAGACGTGTTTCAACCGTGCGTCCCTTTCTGCTCGTTGGCATCAGGTCTTTTCTCCCTTATCTTATGCTCCTTCCAACCCAAAATAATCAAAAAGATGGGTGGAAATGTATTCGAAAATACACGGCGCCTCACTCCAGAGGCGTACCAGTCGACTGTGGACGTGGTAGCTGCAGCAGTCGCAGACGCCAACACGAAGAACCTCTGGGGCAAACATCATGCATTGATGGTCTCGGCACCCCCTTCTTTAGCGGATAAGACTTCCTTTGGCGACGTGGACATTTTGATTGGTCTCCCCTCTGCTCTTGACAATGATGAAGCACGCTCATTCATGGCAGAAGTCGCAAGATCAGTGTTCGACGCAGTTGGTGGACTTGATCGGACGACCTCAAAGAGCGGGAAACAGAATCACATTCTTACAAAAGATCGGTTCCAATTGGACTTGGCCTTTGTCGACGAAGCAAAGTTTGCAACATCGGTTGCGTGCGCGTCTCATGGACGGTTTATGCACCTTTTGAACATGATGCTGACGAAGCAAGCCTTGAAAATGACAGATGATGGCCTCAAGGTTGGCACCGGTGTGGGAGGAGGCAAGAATAGAAAAAAGCGCACGAATACCAATGACGTAGTGTTGTGCCGGGATCTAGACCAAATCGCGGATTTCTTTGGCTTCGACAAGGCCATCTTTGATGGTGTCACTCGCTTTTCTGCAAGCGACATTATATCAATAATCATGGACTGCCGCTTCTTTGATATCCGAAGGTTCCACAACCTAGATTCCAGGCAAGACTTGTTGAAAGCCTCTCCTCTTTTTGTGGAGCTTCGGGATCGAATCGTTGCGCTGGGAGGGGATGGTCCTGCCTACCAGGCTTACTGTCGCAACATCTCGGGTCCCCGAAAGGCCGGACGAATCACTGCAGAAGCGTTTGGCATTGATTTTGACGAGCTCAAGCATAATAGTGGTGAGATCCAGGCTGAAGCCATCGCGAGGAAACGGCTCCACGGTGGCATGTTTATCAGGTTGGTCCCAGAAATGCGACATCACAAGCAACTCCTTCCTCAAATGCCAGACTTGTTGTTGGTGAGAGTATCCCAGGACGGCAATTGGGGCTCCCTCCTCGTGTGGTGCGACACGGCCAGCGTGCGAGAGCAAATGCAGGTAGTCGAAGAAATCTTGGCGAAAGCGATTGCGAGCAACGGAGAGCCAATGAAAGAGTAGCCCCGAGTGACAGAGCTGGGAGCCCCCGCCTTATAAATCCAAACCGCTTTGTCGTCAGAATGAATTGTTGCTAAGCTTATAAACGCTAGACTATCTACCGATGCCTGTTTATTGTTGCTGGCCGGGTGCTCAATATAAACAAGCAAAAACTGGTCGTTCGCGTCATCTTTCTCCTCTGGACCCTTGTCACACCATGCAGCTGATCTTTTTCTTTAAGCGTATTGGATGCGCATAATGTTGGTGGCACCGACACGAGCAGATGATCCGTGCACAACAACAACGGGCTCTCCCTCGGTGGCGATTCCTTCCTTGGTGAAACCAGAAATGACATCGGTGATGACGGCGTCAGTGGAATCCAACGATGGCAAGACCATGGCCTTGCATCCCTTCAAGACACCATGTGTTTGACGGGCCACTTGCTCGGATGTGGTCAAGACAGTAATGGGACGTCCAGGACGGAACTTGGCGACCTGGGAGGCGGTGGCACCGGATTCGGAGCAGACGATAATGGCCTTGGCGTTGACATCAATGGCAGTCTTGACAGCCGAAGAAGCAATGGACTCGGATGTGCTCAGGTGACCGTAACGAGCCAAGGTGGAGTTTCGGACAGCCTGGTAGAGACTGTTGAAGTTGACAGCGGATTCGGCCTCACAGCAAGTCTCTGCCATGATCTTGACGGCAGCGGTGGGGTGCTCTCCTCCGGCGGTTTCTCCCGAAAGCATGACACAGTCAGTTCCATCCAAGACAGCGTTGGCAACATCGGAACATTCGGCACGAGTAGGTCGGGGGTTGGTGGTCTATTATTTGGGCCGAGAAGCGAATTTAGAAATTGACTCCACGCAAAAACAATTCCAAGAAATAGAAGCAGAACGCGGACATACCATGGATTCCAACATTTGTGTGGCAGTGACGACAGGCTTTCCGGCAATGTTGGCCTTTCGGATCATCATCTTTTGGGCCAAGAAGACCTTTTCGGGAGGGATTTCCATACCCAAGTCACCACGGGCGACCATGATCTGTTGTCAGGAGGATTAAAAAAGGTCAGATAAAATCAGCGTGTGACAGGGTTTGCGATACCAGGTGTTGACTTACTCCATCGGTGACATCCAAAATGGCGTCGTACTACAGGATGGGGAATAATCAAAAAAGAGGCGCGTGTAAGACCCGATGGAGCCCTTGCAATTCCCACACCATCTATCCAGTGGTTTCCACTACTTACATTCTCGAGACCCTCCAAGTTTTCAATCTTGCAGATAATCTTGATTGCCTTTCCTTCTTCACCAAGGACCTCACGAATCTTGATGACATCGGAAGCCTTTTGGACAAAGGAAGCGGCGATGAAATCGGCACCATTCTTGATACCCCAGTCCTTGATATCGTGAATATCCTTTTCCATGAGAACGGGCAAATCGACACTGACACCGGGCAAGTTCATGTTTTTACGTTCTCCAATGGCGGCATTGTTTTCAATGCGGCAACTAACTTCCCCGGCAGCCTCGTTGAGTTCCAAAACTGTGAGAACAAGAGAACCATCGGCCACGAGAATTTGTTGTCCGACCTTGACAGAAGTGGGCAATGCCCCGTAGCTGCATGCCAACTTGGTCTTGTCGCCCTTGAACTCGTAGTCGGTGGTCAAGATGAGGGTTTCTCCCTTGACCAAGTTGATTTTCTTGGCGTCATTGGCAAAGAAACCAGAACGGATTTCGGGTCCCTTGGTATCCAACAAGATAGCTGTTGTTGTTATGGTTGTTGCATTATTAATTCATATAAAAGATGAATGACGTGGAGAGTAGTGTGTCATTGCGGTGTGGCAAATTGAATGAAAGAACAAACAAGGAGAGAAAATGGTTAGTCAGATACCTTTTTCATTGGCACTTGGCACAAGCTCTTTGGATTCGGATGGAAGATTCGCATGACTCATGCCATTCGGGACTCCAAATCAAATCCAAGACCAACCATATCTTTTTTGTGGATGTTGTTTTGTTGTTTGACTTACCAACATGAGCTCCCTTGTTCTTGGCAGCGGTACGGACTCGATCCAAGCATGCCTTGTGTCCTTCGTGGTCACCGTGAGAAAAGTTGAATCGAGCCACACTCATACCAGCATCGATCAATTCTTCCAATTTGGGGACATCCCAACTGCAACAGGGTAGAATTCAATAGAAGAAGATAATTCAAAACCAAGTGAGTTTCATGAAGAGATAATCAACAGATAGATTGTCATCATTCCAAGGAGATAACAATGACGAATCCTCCTCCTTAGTCGTGATAGCCTTACCAGGAAGGACCCATGGTACAGATAATCTTTGTTTGACGATCTTTCACATTGGTATCAGCCATAATCTTGGCAAGAGTAATGTTGGAGCCACGAAGCTCAGGACCGCCAGAATGGGACATGTTTGATAATTGGTTAGTTGTATAGTAAGAGAGGGGATAAAAAGATACCTTTTTGGTTGGTTGTGTGATAAATTATTTATTTCCTGAGATGGAAAATTTGTGAGAAGGATCTGATGATGGGGGTGGGTGGGTCGAGAAGAAGCGAATTTGTGCTTCCGGACCCAGCCAATGACCGTCAGTGGTTTACCACCACGCATTTCACGGCTTGCCAAGAGCACGCAAAACGCCGACAGCAACGAAAAAGCAAGGGCTGGTGAATGTGACGTGGCATTCGAGCCATCCTCGCCTGCACCAGGCGAAGAAGCATTATCGTCACATTTTCTTACTGTTAGCCTTAACTCTCTGATCTCTTCAAGTGTGAGAAAGCTTCCAACCAAGCACCTCTCTCCATTCTCCATGGGTTGTGTTTGTTTGCACGATCTTCTTCTTTCCATCCTATAAAGCTAGCCAGCGAGCAACCAAACCATGAGACTATCGTCCCGTCTTATCATCCTGTATCTGAGTACCACTGACTCAACAGTGGCTGCTTTCTCGATCATCAGGCGGCACAAGCCAAAGAAACCGGCTCTCTTTTTGCTGAAATCTACCCTATCGGACGATGACGATTTTGCTCTGGTAGGGCTCAATGCTCTCCAACCTACCGAAACACTGGAATTATCATCCTCGACCGTCAGTACCACTCCCAGCCAGAGTGCGTTTGGAGTAGCTCGAAATAATGACAAGGGCGCGCCTTCTCCTAATAGCGTTTCTACACCAGGATTGACCGAGGACGGCGATTTTATTCTGGAAGGAGTCAATGCTGTGGATCCCTCGGCTAACCAAGGACTCGAAAAGTACGGAACGCCGTTGTTGAACTCAAACAACAACCAGGGTCGATCGGAAGGAGGGTTGCTCTCTCAATTGAGTCTGGCGACAACAAACACTCCACCCTCCAATGAAGAAGCCGTGGATCCAATAGCAGCAGCAAGCAATATATTGACTTCGTTGACCGACGATGGAGATCTGGCCCTTCCAGGCTTTAATGCCATACCACCCACCCAGGAGAGGCAAGATGATAATCCCCTGAACTCCTACTCGCAGCAACCACTACAACCGCCACTAATATCATCATCTCCTCCGGCCCCAGTACCATCGAGACGAGAAAATTCCTTGCAAGAGGTCGAAGACATGACCTTTTGGTTACAAGACATGATACCTACTCTACGAGACGACGATTGCATTCATTATGCTGATGCCTTGGTGTCGTTGGGATTTGATCCCGAGTGTGTCACGGCTGGTGCACTGGTCATGGATGATTTGCATTTCATGAAGCCACTTCATCGACGATACCTCGTCAAGGAAGTTGCAAACAGAAGTAATAACCATGTGTAATTGCGAGATGGAAAGGAAGAAGTGCAAACGGATGACATTCTGGACAGTTCCACCATCTTTTGAAGAAATATCAGCAACGGCACACACACCAAAGAACGCGTGATCGAACGCTCCACGGTTTCGTCAGCAAACCCAATCAACTGTGGCTGACTGCTGGCGACAACGAAGCTCCCGAACTTTATGAATTGGCATTTGTAGCTACCAGCAAGTACGCAATTGAAACCTGTACTAATAGCAGCATGCAACATGGCAATGCCCAAACATGTATTCAACAGTAAGGGAGTAAGAAAGCACACAACCAGGCTGAAGAGTCGTCCCATGCGGTGTCACCTCTATCCCTCAGTAAAGCTGGACTGATGCAGTAGCTACATACATCGATACTAACCATTCACAAAATAGTTTTAATAGAAGTCATAGGTCAAGCATATTCTTCATAGAACCGTTCTTGAAGCTCCCAAATAGCTAGTTCGCAAATGATTAGCCACATGGAGAGGATCGACGAATTGCAAGGCCACCAACATGCAGTATAGTTGTACAGGTATCTTTCTCAATTCTGGCTGTATTTCCGGCTGCCCTTACATCACCACTTCCTCTCCCTTGTGATGGCATGTCTTGGATTCTTCTAGATTTATCGCCGAGACCACGAGATCTCCGACATCATGTAGCCATCAACACACATCCAGAACCAACTTCCGTACAAGAAGGGCTGCTGTGTCCCAAGATGAATTACGTGAGAGTTGCGGGGGTGCTACGTGGCCCCTCTTGCCAGTGTGCTGGCTTTTTGCCAAGTCAGGCGGGACCAGATTGAAAAAGATCGCAAGTGCATTGCATGCGAGAAATATCCGACGGTTACGGTAGCTTTGGAAGTAGTACGTACGAAGTCCTTTCTCGATCATCACCCTCGTGACATGCAACACTTTGCCAAGGCAACGCAGCTACTTTGCCTTCGGCTCTTGCTTGGATACACAGACAGCTAGCTACTAGCTAATCATAACCCTCTATCATCTTCCTTACAATTTTTTGTCATACAACAAGACAACCAACAATCACCATGAAGGTTTCCATCTTTGCATCTCTGTTTTTGGCCGCAGGAGCCGCCGCTTTTGCTCCTGCTGCTTCCACTTCTCGTCTCTCGGTGGTCTTGAAGGGAACCGCAAATGAGCTCGGCATCCCTTGTGAAGATGAATGCGCTCTGGAAAGTTTCCCCAACCTTCCACCCAGTGTTCACCCTGGTGTTTTGAGTGGACAGGCCCAAATGGATTTGTTGCAACACGCCAAGGAAAATGGTGAGTTTTTCTTTCATTGGTTTGGTACTTTGAATTTGTAAAGAGTGCATCTTGCGTTCGACGGAAGCTGCTTGGATGATATCTCGGATGCAAGATCGAACAGATTTTCTTGTTATCTGGCTGGATGTCGAAGGCCAATGGTATACAAGGAGTTGCCGTTGCCTACCAAGTTGAAGGGTCGGCCATGGTCAGCCCCAATCTTTTCTTTTTTGTTGGAGGAAGCTGATTGATCGCTGACGTGTATCTCGTTGATTGATGGATTGTAGGCTAAACTTTTCGATGTGACGTCACGGCAAAGAAAAGGCCTCATTTCTTTTCTCTGTGCAAGCTGTCGTCTAACTTTTTTCTTCTGTGCGCCTCTGTTCTCGACAACAACTTGACCGGCAACAGGGTATGCCATCCCAGCGGTGAACTGTGTCTCCTCATCTGGAATCAACGCTTGTCTGGAGGCTGCCCGAAAGAATGATGCCCCTATCATCATTCAGTTCTCCTCTGGTGGATCTCAAGTGAGTTTGCTATTGAAAATAAATGACGCGGAAGCAATTATCTCGTTCGTTGCGGGTAGTATCTCTGACTCCCTGCTCTTTTATTAAAGTTCTATGGAGGAAAGGGACTTGACAACAGCAACTACGCGGCTGCCATTGCCGGAGCTGTCTCGGGTGCTTTCCACGTCCGAACCATGGCTGAACAGTACGGTGTCCCCGTCATTCTCCACACCGACCACTGCGCCAAAAAACTTCTTCCATGGATCGATGGTCTGTTGGCTGCTTCGGAGCGTTACTACGAGCAACACGGTGAGCCACTGTTCTCTTCTCACATGATTGATTTGTCTGAGGAGCCAATTGAGGAGAACATTGAAATCTGCAAGAATTACATGGAGCGCATGTCCAAGATTGGTCTCCTTTTGGAGATGGAATTGGGAATCACTGGAGGAGAGGAAGATGGTGTTGACAACACGGATGTCGCCCTTGAAGATCTTTACTCCAAGCCCGAAGAAATCTACCAAGTCTACGAAGAACTGGAAAAGGTCTCTCCCATGTACACAAGTAAGTACCAACACAGGATGCAGTGCTGCGCTGACTATGCTCCCAATGAAACTTGAGCTCAACCCTTTATTCCTTGGCTGTCTTTGCAATCAGTTGCTGCTGCCTTCGGAAACGTTCACGGTGTCTACAAGCCCGGTAATGTCAAGCTCGAGCCTGAAATTTTGAACAGGGCTCAGGGTTACATCAGCGAAAAGATCGGCGACAAGGCGCCAGAGGACAAGAAGCCCGTCATGTTTGTTTTCCACGGAGGCAGTGGCTCTGATGTTTCTGATATCCAAAATGCTATTGACTACGGTGTGATCAAGATGAACATCGATACTGATACTCAGTGGAGTTACTGGGAGGGTATCAAAAACTTTGAGGCCAAGTACCATGATTACCTGCAAGGACAAATTGGAAATCCCGAGGGAGATGACAAGCCAAACAAGAAGTACTACGATCCCCGTGAATGCATGCGTGCCGCCGAAGTCACCACCGTTGAACGTCTGGGACAAGCCTACGCGGACTTGAAGTGCCAAAACATCCTCGGTCTTCCACAAATGGCGGATGCCGAAAACGTCCTTGGACCTCGACGAGGAGGACTTCCTGTTTAAATCAGGCAGAGGTGGTCGTCTAGCGGTCTTTTCGTGGCGCAGCGGACCGTACCGTAGCATTGTTTAAAATTATTATACATAGTAGCTTCAAACCAGACTAGCCTGCAACGTTAGTGCGAGCGATTTTGGACTCGAAATGCTCCGTCAAATGGAGACTACATAAATCTCCTTGCCACAACTCCTGAGAGGCCTTGTGAGGTGTAAGACAATCCTGTAGGACTGTTTTACTAGCAAGGGCAGAATGAGCTTCCGCTGACATCAGCGTACAAAGAGAAAGAGAACGCCCTTTCTCTTGAACACCCTCGTCCAGAGATCTCCGCCGCCCAAACCAAGTTTTGCGGTTCTACAGTTTTCTGCTGTGACTGCAGCTACAGCTGTACGGTGTATGACAAAGACGAGCAAATGCAAAAACTATCCTTACTTCTTTCCTCTTGCAGCAATGGCAGCCAGGAGGCCGCCGCCAATTTTTGGCCTGTTGGGCTTGGGGCTTGTCGGTTTGCTGCCGATGCTTGGTTTTGCCTTTGCCTTGCCCTTTCCTGCGATAGCAGCCAAAAGACCACCCCTTTCTTGTCGCCCTTTTGCCTCTGGGGGTCCCAGCAAACTCTTCGGGAGGGGAGGGGGGCGCGAAGCATCCTCCACCTCGCTAAAGCAGCTGTCCGATATCTCGGACTCTGTGCTCAAAGCGTGGACAGCTCTCGCCCGGGCCTCCTTCTCAATCTCCGCGATTTTCTTAAGCTTCCTGGATGGATCAGGGCGGCAGACCGCAAGCTTCTTCAAAGTTTGTTGGTTGCGTACATGCAAGTCTCCCATCAACCCGCTGATAACTTCGATGCATTGCGATACCCTCGTGTCCTTCAACTTCATTTCCCTCATGCGCCTCTCCAGGAAGGGGAACAGAATCGACAAACTATCGTTCAGTTCCTCGCAGAGAGCACATTCGACAGCACTTCTCGTATCGGGGTCATCACGATCTTTGTTTCTTGCTCCTCTGGTTTCCATGCCAGACCTTGCCGCCAAGCCCTGCACGGTTCGCTTGAGGTCGTTCAGGAGGTGCGTGTACGAAATGACCTCCTTCCGCTTCTCGTCATCCGTGTAGGCGGCATTCTCGATGGTGCGTTCAACCCAAGCGATTTCCCGTATCTCGATCTTGTCCATCGCTTCGTCCATGGCCGCACAACTTCCATTTGCTTTGGCTACGAACATCACGTTTTTGTAATGCTTCTTCAGAATTTCGGCTCGTTCATCCTCAATCTTTGCGCGGGCAAGGGCTTGAGCTTCCAGCAAAGCCTTGGCACCCGGATCATCCGCAATTCTTGAAACTTCGTTTTCCGGGAACACAGCTCCTTCGGGAAAGCCATAGTCGCCGGAGTAGTCTACCTTCTTGTCTGCCACAAGTGGGCACGACGGCCCAAAGAGATCGCATTTGTGGTTTCCTGGGGGACCACACGCCACACAATGTTGTTCCCATTCGTTCAATGCCAGTTTGAGGCTATCCCTCAACAGTTCGAACCACTTCCACTTCATCCCGGTCGTCTTATCGGAACAGTTTTTCTTCCACGACTTCGCGACCGTTGTGAGCTGGGCATGAAGGGCTCGTCGTTCTGTCAGCGTCAAGCCTCGGCAACCCAGTTCGTTCAGGTAGTTGGGATGCATTCTCTCGATCTCGTCAGGGTGAAATCGGATCAACTTGAGGACATTGGTGCGCTTAAACTTCCTTGCTGTCGCCCTCGGGAGATGCTTTCCGTTTGGTGTTGGAGTCGTTGCCAATTGCTCGACAGTGAGATTGCGACTATTGACGGGCATGTGTCTTCGTATTTGCTTCAGCGCTTCCTCATTGTCGGCTGCGGTTTCTCGTTCCCAGCGTTCCTCCTTTTGCTCCTGTTCCTTTTGGTATTCGGGGGTGAGCACCATAGCAGCATCCAGGCGCTCCGCCTCTACGGTGAGCTCGTGGTACTCCTTCCTCAATTCCTTTTCAACGACAGGGTCTGGGTGCTCTATTAGCATCTTTCCGTCGGGAACCATTGCCGCCAGCTCCCCCAGCCTCGGATTGATCCTGTTCATTTTCTCCTTGCACTCTTCGTAGGGAATGTCATCGGCGATTGCAATTCGATTTTTAATCAGCTGCTGCTCCAGCATCTTCTTTCGTTTGTTTGCAATCCTTAGCTCCTTCGCCAGCTGTGCCGTCTCCCCCTGCAAGACCGACTTGACATCGGAAATTCCCATCTCCTTCACAGCGCGTCCAGCCTCTGCCACATCTATTGGGACCAGCTCCATACCAGCAGGCAGCTCTTTCGTGGTCGCCCCGACAGCGACGCCCGGCTCTTCAGTGGCGCCAACAGGGAGAGCTCGGTCCTTGACCACATCAGACTGGGAAACGTCTGTCATCCTAAATTGAGGGTTGGATTTGGAAAGGCTACGTGCGTCTTTGAGCAAGACATCCACCAGTGCCAGGGATCCTCCAAGCCCACGCAACAGATTGGCCAGTTCCGAAAGGGACAAGTCTTTTGTGTCCGACTCCTTCAAAGATTGCTTGCCGTCTGGTCCCTGCAGGGTGAGCTTCACGGCAACGTTGATCTTTGTGGCGTCATTGGTATGCATAGTGTCGACCATTACCCAATCACTGATTTCCTTCTCTGTCGCTGGTTTCACCTGGCCACCACCAGCAACGACCCCCCCAGAGGTGGACTGTTCCGTCGAACGGGCATCTCCCTCGGTGCTACGTTTCGCAGGGATTTCGCGATCGGTACCATCAGAAGCGCTTCTGGCAAGTGTTGGCTTCGTTGCGACGGGAACCGTGGTCGTTTCTCCTGGTGCGATTGTGTCTGGGGCCACGGGGGCGGGTTTTGCAGTTGCCGTCGAGGCAGCAACACCCCTCTTCAAGGTGGGCGCCACCTTTTTCCGGACTATCCTCACACGCCTCCCATCCGGTTTGACAATGATCTCGCCCTCCTTTGGGGAAGTCTTTCTTCTCACAACCCTCCTCCTGTATCGGGAGCCGTCGGGTCTGGTAATGATTTCTCCCTTTGAGGAGGCATCTTCGTTGGCCTTTTGTGTCGTTGGTGTCTTTAGTGGCGTGTCCCCTGCCACCGTGGCACTGCCGCACGTCTTTGGCATTGCCGAGTCTGCCTTTTCCAACAATCCTGCCAAGTCACCGGCTGCTGTCGTGTTGGTGGTTGGTGCCTTATTGTTCGCGACCTTGCGGGTGCCATCGGGTCGAACAATGTTGTCTCCTTCTTTGACCGTCTTGGGGGGGACCTTTCTGGTCTTGAAGACTCTGCGCACTTTCCTTCCATCGGCTCGGATGTAGATTTGGACTTTGGTGCCATCAGGCATGATTTGGATCTCTCCCTCGGGTTGTTCGTGACTTGCTGCCATACTGCGTTTTGCTTGAGTTATCGTGTTGGATTTTCTTCTCTCCTTTTTGGAATTGTGAGCTAACCACGAGCTGTCTTTCCCGGCATAGATACTGGTGTATTTAGTTTACAAAGAGCATCAAGGTTGATGTCGCACTTCCCAGACTCTATTAGACAAACGTGTGGAGGCTGGTTAACAAATGCTCCTTTGGTGGCACCGTGGCTGTGCCAGGTTCATGTCTGCTTTGTCGGGGTTCGAAACGTGGATTTTCTTGAGCTTCTGGTACAGCAATAAAAATGCCGCTTTAGTTAGGGAGCCAATGATGGACGCTCTAAGCTAGTTTTGCTAATAAGCTTCTTCTCGCCAAACAAAAGAGCACCGACAACAACTTCAGTCGCCACATCGTCAATCCACCGCAAGACAGCAACAGTAGTCCACATCCACAAGGCACTACCGTATAGTACAGTCAATACAATACAAGAGAAGCCAACCATGCCCTACGAGACAGTCCAAGAAAAGGTGGTTCAAGAACGACGAGTCCGCGTCTGCGCTCGCTGTCGCAACCCCATCGCAGATAACGCGAATCGTGGCACCGCCAATGTGGTGGGGAGCCTCAGTGGTTCTCTGGGAGCATCGTTGGGAGGCTCCATGCTATTGGGATCGGTATTGGGTCCTGTAGGTGCCATTGGAGGCGCCATTGCGGGATCCTTTGCCGGTGCCAGGGCTGGAAGAGACGCGTCCAACAAGGTTGTGGATGTGGTGGAATCCCAACAAGATAGTCTCTGTCCGGCGTGTCGCAAAGTGACAGACAGTTACAACAAAAAAGACAATCAACAGGGCGGTCAAACGCTGGGAAATGGTCAACCTTTGGGTGGTGGACAGCGGTTGGGTGGTGGTGCACCTGCCCGGAATTCGTTTTCCAATTCACAACAACAATCATCAGGTCAAACGCTAGGAGGCGGACAGCGGCTGGGAAGTGGTGAACCCGTGCGGCCAGGCGATCGAATTGGAGAAGCCGCAAATGCCGCTGGAAGAGGAATCAACAATGGATTGTCTTGGATGAAGCAATCCGTCACCGATGTCGTGGACAGTGTGAAAAATAATGGCAACAACAACAGCAATGACGACAAGAACCAAGGAGGCGGCAATGGACCACATACAAGTGGTGTGTTGTAGGATCGTTTCTAGACAAAGAATTCACTATTTACATAGCTAGTTGCTAGTAGTAGTTTTTTGTGTCACATGGATTGCTCTTCCACAGGATGCTTTTATTCATCAAAACTCGTTTGGCATTGTTGTCGTGTTGATTCGATGCTGTTTGATTCTTCTGGTTCATGAGAGAAAATGGAAGGATCCGGAGACTCTAGTTGGCAGCATCGACTGCTTTCCTCGTTCGTTCATTCCTTTCGCTCGCCGCAAAGCATTCTCCGTCTCTGCTCGCAAGTTGGCTCTTCTTTTAGTTTCCAAAGATGCCTCGTGCCGCTTGTCGAGCTCGAGCATTCACGCCAATCTTCATGTCACTCTTTTCCTTTTCCACAGACGTCACAAAGGCCACGATACTGGCCACAACTTCCTCCAACCCATAATCTCGCACTTGACGGTTGGTAATGAAGAAACTCACGTCGTGGCCCTCCAACGGGATCTTTTGAAGCATTCGATAGTCCTTCCATAGCTGCTGCTGCGTCGTCAAAAACTCGCGGACAATAATGGTCTCTAGTTCGTCTTGTTTCTTGAGACGAAACGAGCAACGGATCGAATCCGAGGTCGCCTCCAGCAAACAGCACTCCTTCATGGGGGCTTTCCACAGGACGACGCGACGATGGGACGAGTCCTCGAAAAACGCCTTGTAACGACGAGGCACCGCCGAAGCCTTGTCATCAATGTCCATGGCAGTGAGACCTTCACGAAGGCCCTTCTCGATGGAATCGAGGTAATCCTTGCGTGACGCAAAGCTGCTCGTCGTCATTGTCGTTGCCATCGTTGTGAAATGCAACTTTTTTCTCTTTTCACAACCGCCCTGAACGGTTTCGATTCGATTCGATTCGATTCGATTCGATTCGATTCGATTCGATTCAATTCGATTGAAGATTCCGTCGATCATTCAATCGAATTCGAATTTTTCGGGGTTTCGTGGGGCAACTTGAGCTTTTAGCTTTTCCTCCTGGACTCTACGGAGCACCGGCTACGACTGTACCGGTGCTAGGTATCTCTCGATGTACGCGCCAGATTTGATAGCATTACTAGCTAGATAGACGTTTGTGATGTACACCTTGGACTGCTGGATTGGATAGCTCTGGGGATTGGGTTGACAGTGGTGAGTGAGGCGAACCGCTATGCTATGACAGGGCACCTGGACTGCTGGATCTCAAACGCTGAACTGAACCAACAGGGTGAGATCGACGGGGTTTTGAAGGCGCTATGGTCATCCTTCCCACTGGCTACCAGGTAGCAGCAATTGATTGATGGTAGTGACAAGTCGGAGCACGTGAGTCAAAGCTTTCTAATTGATAAGGGATAACAGTTACTGTACTGGTATTCCTGTTATCACACCATTTCATTCATGCGATGTCAATTGGCGGAAGGTCCGCAACCACCGTACATGTCCGTAAGGAACACCGGTGAGAATCTACAGGGAAGCTACGGCTACCGGTGAGAATCGAATCTACCGGAAGCTACGGTACCGGTCTTCTAGAGCAGACTATGCATATGTACTGGTACCGGTTTTGGAGCTCAATGTACGGTAGCCGACTCATTCATCAGGTGGTTTGTCATGTATGAGTTTGGACCAACAGATGCAACAGGATATTGTCATAAAAAGCAGCATAACTTTTGTGCTTCCAAGAGAAGAAAAGATCGAACCATGAGCGCCGAGACCCAAGAAGAGATGAAATGGGATGCGGCCACCAACCCAGAGTCTACTCACCACAAGTCGTTGGCAGATGATGGACGGCGCAGAAGAGCATCAAGTGCAGCTCGTGTCAATGAGTTGAGAGCTATCATTGCTCGAACTGGAATGCCAACTCCAGCTAATAACCTTGCTTTGCCAAAGCAGAGTTCCTCTTTGGTTCATGGGAAGAACCAGCAATCTGTGCTTGAGCGTTTGAAAGGTGGTGCTAGCAACCAGGACACAGTCCAAAGGCAAGTGGACACTTTGAAGGCAACTGATGCTGTGAGTCTGATTGCCAGCTCCTGGATATCTACAAGGAAGAGTGGTGGTAGCAGACATTCGGGCTCGCAGAAGCAGAGTCAGGGTGGGACCCCAGAGCCAGTCCGAGTCTCCCAGCGAAGGCATACGAGTACTGGCCTGGGTTTATCTGAAAGAACTGTTTTGGAGCAAATGAAGAATTCAGGCCTGGTGGGTATTGCTGGACTGGGTGAAGGAGGCAAACAGTTGAAGGTGGTGCCCCATGCAGGTTGAAACAGGACCTGATCCATGAAGGTCCAATCAATAGTAGATATCCTTACACTCTTCTTCATGTTGTCCCCTGAGGTGCTCCAAAAGGTAGCCGGCAAAGGTCGTCGTTTCTCCTGGGCGCTGATCAGAGCTAGCTACCGGTAGCGAGAGGATCAACAGCCACAGCATAAACGTAAAAGCAATCTTATTAGTAAAGTCCAAGTTGCTGGGTCTGCGTCCAAGCTCTAGACTATTCATTCATGCGAATAACTGGTCATGTGGATGTACCGCTAGGTAAGGGTTTTCCTCACATCTCCAGTGAGCATCTACGATCAGTATCTAGCTAGCTAGCTAGCACATCCAACCAACCATCCAGTGGTTTGTCATCAACTTGCTTGAGCTGGCATCCTACAGTGCAATTGGCACACAAGAGGCAGCATAAACCGTGATGCTGCCAATGGATCGAACCATGAGCTCCGATACCCACGAAGGGAAGAAATGCGATTCTGCCGCAAACCTAGAATGGAAGTGCGATCAATGCGGCAACGAATATCCACTAGCATGCAAATTTTGCGGGGTTTGTGGAGGTAAGAGGCCAGAGTTTAAAAAAAAGGAGGAGGATTGGTGGTGCCAGACCTGTGGAGTGGAACAGCCTGCCAAATACAAGTTCTGCAGCAGATGTGGGATGAAGCAAGAGGACTGCTGCGTAGCTGCAGAAGCGAACCAAGGTTCTAGCGAAGACCACTCACCTTGCAAGGTCCACGAAGACGATAATGAGCACCACCACGATGAGATGGGCGAACAGAGTGGCAGGATCAGCGTTATTCTGAGCATTCGTCGAAGCCAAGCCGCTGAGGGCAACGAGCTTAACGCCATGTTTCCACAGGACGAAGGAGAAGACTTAGAAGCAACTGTGGATGATTCCCTCATGGATGCTCAGCCCCTGGTGGAAAGTCAGCTGCGCTCTATCGTTCACAGAGAGAGCCGAAACAGGAGCAGGAGCACTTTGTCTGGTTGGGAAAAGGAGTCAGAAACACGAGCCTAATTAGTCCAGAAGGTGGAAGTTCCCTGTTGGACACCTCTGTCAGAGAAAGTAGGCAGCACAGCGGGAGCAATGGCCTATTGGACGAGAACACGAGGACTCGAAACAACGGTTCTAATGCTCTATCCAATGTGGCAGAGCTGACCCGTAACAGGTTGGACAGGTTGGATGTTTCTGCCGGCACAATTAGAGGAAGTCGACAAATCGGGAGTACCGATAGCGGGCACTTGATTGAAACCACAGAGTCTCATTTGAGCAGATCCAAGACGCTTTCCTCAATTGACCCTGACCGCTCTACGAGAGGAAATAGAACATCCCACTTGGATGAAAACGCAAGGACTCAGATGATCAGATCCAACGCTCCTTGGACTAGTTCAGCAGGCCGGAAAAGATTGGACAACACCGACAGCGGAAGCAGGATGGTGGACATGGACTCCGAGCGAGAGAACAGGATGGACCCATCAGGTAGAAGCCACAGGATAAGTGCAGGAGGAAGCAGCTTGAGGGTCGGCGCAAGAACTTGCGTTGGAAGCATGGAAAAAACTTCTTTTGATGACCTCTCCAAAAGCAAAACATCTATGGCCAAATCCGCAAGGGCATCAAGGAGCAGCAGGTCGAGGAACGGTGTGACAGCCATAGCAGGGAAACCCGGTGATCCCGAGGCTTGCACAGTCGACAAATCTCGAGGCCGTCAAGGCAGGAGCAGAGAAGCTGAGAAACGTGCAGATGGCAAAAGGGGCAACAGCATGGAGCCCAGCTAACGAGGTGCCAGTGCTAATCGCAGCAATCGAGCCAAGAACCGAAGCAACAGCCCTGGCGCCAGAGAGCGAGGCAACAGTGCCCATGACAGACGACCTCCCAGGAGTAATAGCGGCGGAAACAAATCAGAGACAAGAGCCTGTCAGCATACCGGTACACAGGCCAAAGGAAGATCACGCAGATCAAGTCCAAACCAGAAAGATAAATCCACTCGGGGCCCACGAAGCAAGTCCAGGTCAGCAAGGCTTGATTCGGAAGGCTCGAGCAATAAGTCGCGTAGAGGTGGGAGGACACTGGATTCGTCTCAGAGGACAGGGAGGAGTGTCCATCAGGGCTCCATCGGTGCTTCTAGCAGCGACAAACAAACATCAGATTGGAGAAGGCCGACTAAGTCGGACGATTCCAAGCCTCGCGATCCGCCGCCTGTTGAGCCAGTCATGACATTAATCTGCCTCAAACCCAATCCACGTGATACTCCGTCAAGTAGAGAGCAAAGATCCGTCGGTGTGGATCCATCGTTAGGCAGAAAAGCAGCCCAATCCATGAGAGCAACCAGATCGATTGATCTCACGTTTGGTAGAAATCTCCCAAACAGCAAATCCCTCCGGGGAGATCGCACAACAGATCGAGGGAACAAATCTAAGAAACACAAAAACCAAGACGAGCAGCCCAGAGCACGAAGTGCCTCGCCAATCAGACAAGACTCGGCAATAGAAGAGCCAGAAGCCCGCAGTTCTCGCAGCATGTCTCCAAAACTCTGCAGGGGCACTTCTCAGGAGCGGCCTTTAGTCACACGTTCAAAGTCAACGGGAGAAGACACCCACAACAATAATCTGTCTGACCGAGGGGCTCGTGAAAGAGTCTGCGAGCCAAATCACTCAAGGTCGCAACGTGGCACAGACAGGACGAGGGTGCCAATCAGTGCTCGACGAACCAAGTCTGATGGTAGCCGAAACGATGCTGATAGCAGTTGGAGGCGATTCAGCGCCGTTGATTTCAGTTCAGGCCTCAATGGTTGTGTAGAAAAGGAAGGTAAAAGTTGTGGTATCAGGGAACTTAGCGCAGAGTCAGTCGCTGCCAGGCTATCGCCGGTGGAGGCTATATCACAAAACATCTGCTCTGGTTTCGAAGGGAGTCTCCCTGATGGTGAAGACCGGGATGCTGCAATTGACGGCGAACCAAAGACTCGTTCCTCTTGCAGTGTGCTACCCAGAAGCACAAGCTTCACGGAAGATCCAATCCCGAGGAAGAGTCGTATTTCCATTGTAGACAGTGGAGTGCTTGACAACAGCAGCTGGCTTGATCACAGCGGCCAAGACGAAGGGGGCAAAGAACGGCACCAGCAGTTGCCGACCAACGACGCGACCAATGATCTGAGCGGCCAAGTGGGCTTCGATTCCATGGCTGCAGTGACAGGCGTATCAAGATGCAGGTCGGCGAAAACACTTTCCCAGGAGTCTTCTGCACAAATATCTTCAGCAGATCGCCGCAGAAGAGCAGCGAGCCCAGCAGGTGTCAGTGACTTGAGTGCTCTTGTTGCTCAAAGTGTAATGCCAACTCCAGCTAAGAACTTTGCTTGGCCAAAGAAGAGTTCCTCTTTGGTTCATGATAAGAACCAGCAATCTGTGCTTGAGTGTCTCAAGGGGATTGTCAGATATCATGATATGGTCCAAAGGCAAGAGGACACTTTGAAGGGAACTGATGCTGTGACTTGGATTGCCAGCTCCTGGAAATCTACAAGGAAGAATGGTAGCAGCAGACATTCGGGCTCACAGCAAGAGAGTCAAGGTGAGCGGCCGGGGACAGTCCGAGTCTCCCAGCAAAAACTCGTGAGTGCTGGCCTTCCTGAAACAACTGTTATGGAGCAAAGGAAGAATTCAGCAGGCCTGATAGGTATTGCTGGACTTGGTGAAGGAGGCAAACAGTTGAAGGTGGTTCCCAATGCAGGTTGAGACAGGACCCGAGCCACAAAGGTTTATTCTTGATGACACTTCTGTGTAGTAAGTCTGCGATGCGCTTGCGATGGTTGTTACTTTCATTGTACCAGCATCCTTGGTTGTACAAGAAGCTTGTTGGCTGCCTTCATACTCGTCCATTGGCTAGCTAGATGGCTACCGGTAGCACATCATCTTCCCTTTCATAAGAATCCCACTGACATCGATGACAACCAGAGCACCTGAGCATATGCAGGGTTGCTCGTGCTGGAAGCTAGCTAGCTAGTCACAACGAGAGTACCATGAACGCCGCATCCGACCCGTAGCTTTGCAGGCACTCTGGATCCAGCGGTGTCGCCCGTTGGAATCCCAGTTTTGTCCAAAAGCTGTGACTCCCATTGACGGCAACCAGTGACATGCTTTTGATTCTGCCCTTGTTTGGTTGTACTTGCTGCTGCTGCTGTTGTTGTTGGAGATGTTGGAACAGGCGCTTTCCAATCCCCTGTTTCGGTGTGGCGACCGCCAAGTCATGAAGGAATAGATTGTCGGTGGTTACTGGAGCAGTAGCTTCTTTTACGACAGCATTCAACTTGGGCACTTGTCCAGAAGCCCACGGGTGTGCCAAACAATACCCCATCAGTTCCCCTTGATCTTGATAGAGGAAGCAAAATCCGTTTCCTACTGTCGCCTTTTGTCTCAATACTGGTACATCTTCATGCCATTCGGGTGGATAGACGCGGCATTGGAGCTCGTAGACCCTGGCCCAATCATCATCGTTGTCGCCAGGAAGGAGAGGGCGAATTGTTGGCATAGTCAATGACATTGTAAGAACAGCCGCACGGTGGTACTATGATTCCAAGGGATGCATGCACATCCGTGAGAGGTGGATACGCTGTAACTCTGACAGTGTGCTGTACAAGACTGAAATTTGGCGGCTAAAAACTAACTGTTTGGACCCTTGGAACAATGTTGCAACCCGAAATGTCGGCTAGTTAGCTCCTTGAGTTAGACATTGTTGGAAGACTCTTTTGCGACATTACAGCAGCCACGGTGCTGGTAGGACGACGACCGTAACAGCGCCGCCATGGGCAACAGAACACCATGGGGACAAAAACACAAGACAAAAAACTTGGCAAACCAGATTTCCGATTTCTCATTTTTTCTGAACAATGACAATGACAAAATTTAAATTTAAATTAAATCATCAAATTTCCTCACAATTCCAATTTTGCCGATTTCTCACAATTCCAATTTTGCCGATTTCTCACAATTTGATTTTTCAATTTAGGATTTCTCACAATTCCAATTTTCGTTTTCGATTTCTCACAATTCCAATTTTTTCTGATTCCTCACAATTTCAATTTTGTTGATTTCTCACAATTCTTTTTCTGACGATTTCTCACAATTCAAATTCTCGAGTTTCGATTTCTCACAATTTCAATTTTGCTGATTTCTCACAATTCATATTTCAACGATTTCTCACAATTCTAATTCTCGATTTTCGATTTCTCACTATTCTGATTTCACAGATTCCTCACAATTCTATTTTTCAACATCTGATTCCTCACAATTCAAATTCAATTTATGATTTCTCACAATTTCAATTTCTCCCATTCCTCACAATTTCTAATTTTGCTGATTTCTCACAATTCCAAATTTCAATTTGCTGATTCCTTACGATTTTGTGTTGTATCATTTGGATAAAATAAAAATATTATTCGGGTTCACGAGGAAGATCCACCCGCAAGACTGACTTGCTTGGTGATTGGCAGCCAACAACTGACAACGGACAATAACAAGATGCCTCCGGTGGCGCCAACTACGGAAACAGAAATAGCAAAAAGGCATGACAGTGGATTGCACAACCCTCCCAGCTACTGACATGGCTCCCTAGCGGTTTTCCTAGCTCCTCCCCCTGCCCTACTAGTTCCAGCCCCGGTCCTGGTTGTACCTCCCCTGCTGGCCTGAGCCCAGCTAGTCAGCCTCAGCCAGCTTCCCAGTCAGTGACATCTCTATAGCATTTCTCCTGGGCAGCTCCTTCCCCAGCTCAATGCCCAGTTTGATCCCAAATGCTCCTCCTGCTGAGAGCCTCAGCTACCGGTATGCAGTTAGCATTACTGCTAGAGCTACCAAGCAACCCTCTTAGCCAGCGGAGGAGTCGGGTCGGTATGAGGAGTGGAGTTGGGTTACATCTGGCCGGTACCGTGTAATGGTATAATCTACCTTTTACTATATGATGAGTACAGGACTGTCCGACGGTTTTCACTCAGACTTTAAAACGACCACAACTGGTTCTCATTCTAAGGGCATGTTTTAAGGGCATGTTTAAGGGCATATTTCAGATATAAGGGTACATTTTTTAAAGGGCATGTTTATATAAGGGCATGTTCATTCGTGATAAGGGCATGTTCTATGGTGTTTCAATGAAGGCTTAAGGGCGTGTTTCGAGGCATTAAGGGTATGTTTTAAGGGCATGTTTATATAAGGGCATGTTTAAGGGCATGTTTCAAACGGTGCTCAGGCGTGGAAATTTCAATTTTTGTTTTAGAGCCTGAGTGAAAACGGTTGGACGGTCATGTCCGGTCCGGTATGGTTAGCCTGTAACCCTAAAACGAGGACCAACCATTGATTGATTGATTGACACACCAAACAACAAAATCCGCAACAGGCCAACTCTGTAGTTGGCGAAACTTGACAACTCCAAGCAGCCCCATCAGTGTTGGCTAATAGCTCTACTGTAGAGTGGATCCCTCCGACAGTCTATACATATAGTGTGATGACAAGGATGGAGAGCTATGATTCTTGGGACGAAGAAAAGACCAACTACAATAGAACACCCTTGGCATTATTATTGCTGCACAGTCGAAAATTGGACCACGACAACCCACCCGATGGTTTGACCGTGACAATTGACATGATGACTGTCGCACTGGTCGCTTCGGCCGTCTTGTACATGATTTGTTTTCGCTTGGCGCGACACAAGCTGAAGGTGCTGCACGAACTGCAACCGCAAATGACGACCAAAAAATTGTTGATTTTGAGTGTCTTGTTGGTTTCCGTTTTGAGGATCATGACCATTTTGGGAGTGGCCGCCATGAACATGGCCAATGTGCGGGCGCACTATTCGTTGCAACCGACGGGCCGGGGCGACAAGACACAAGATTTCTACGACGAAGCCATGACGGTCCTCTTTGATTTGCCCAATTGCATCGTCGTCAGCACTTACGTGTTGTTGACGTTGGTCTGGGCCGAGTGCTTTTTGGAAGCTCGATTTCATACCGAAAATTCCGTTTATTGGAAACAACGACTCCTCATTCTATTCATGATCTTCAATACACTCCTCTACGCCACACAGTTGATTCTATATGCCTGCATATTCTTCTCGGCATCGCATTCCTTGGTACGCGCCATTCTCTATGCGGCCATTACGGGAATTAGCTTTGTGGCCGTTTTGTTGGTCCTCTGCTTTTATGTCTATTTGAACATTCGATTCTCGGGATTTCCCTACCGATCCGAAGAACAAAAGGCATCTCTGGCACGAGTTTCCTCCGTCATGACACTCTGGTCCTTCACACGTGTCATTTGGGGCGTCGCCACATTGCTCGTGTATGTGGACAATGTCGAACTCTTGCAAGACACGGATACACCACTCTGGTCCTTTGTCGTACTCTTTGTGGTATTCTTTGTCTGCGAAATTGTACCCATTGTCATTTTGTTGGATTATTCCTATTACATGCACATTCTACGGGGAAGATTCTTGCCGGAAACAGCAGCCGAATCATCACAGCAGCCACAACACGACGACATTACTCCACAACATCATCCAACTAATGGTACTCATCATCATCATCATGGGGAGGCCGATTCCTTGCTGCTCCAACGGCCCCTCCAAACCATGGATCATTTGTTATTGACGTCTCCACACAGCATCACCAACAATACAACAACGAACCATTCACGGAGAGTCAGGTTTCTCGATGCACCGCCAGAGGAAGATCCTATTCTAGAAACAACCTGAGAAAATGGAAAATTTAGCAACACTCATCCTCAACAATCATCATCAGCGATCTATCCGAGACAGATTTTTGGATCAACCCGATCGTTAGAAAAAACAGAACTACGACCAGCAGTTAGACTATACAATCCACAAAAAACATCGCCCATTTTCAATGCACCGACCCGCTACCGGTACAGCTACACTTTTCCATCCATCCAGCCATATGGCCTCCTTGTAGCCATTCTTCTTCCGGCCTTTCCCTCTCCATCAATCCATCAATCATCATACAATCTTTCCTGGCGACGCCAAAGCACCAAAGGTCCGTCGATGCACCAGTATATGCACATGATCACTGTCTGGTACGGTACAACTGTGGGGTTGGTTCTTCCACTGCAACAACACATCCAACGCAGCTTTAGCATGCAGTTCCTCTCCAGTTTTGTTTTGCTTGATGAGTGACATCGCTCTCCACCAATCTTCTCTAGAGGCGAGGGAATCATTCTTGGCTAATGCTTTTCCTGGTTCCTTGAGTGCCAAACTTGGAATGCAAGATAAAATGATAAATGCTACTTGACTGGCGTGTAGTCCTTTTGTTGTTTCAGACTTCTGGAGAGCTTTGCCAAATCCTTTTCCACCTGAATGATCTGCATGAGCTCTAGCCACTCCATAGGTGCTGTGCGGTCACCATATTTATTTGAGCTGTGGCAAAACAATCTCGTCATCCTTGTTGCCTGTATCAGAGCTGGACATGGCTCCTGCCTCGTAGCCTTGTGAAGCGCGAAAGACTTTTGTTCGTAGGTCGCAAAACGGAAAGGATGGGGCTCGCAACCTCAGTTGGAACCTGGACTGTACGGAAGTCAAAGAGGTGAGCAACGTCTGAACCTCTGGTGTCAGGGTACTTTTTTTTTTGCTGGACAGCGCACTGAGTTTGGGGCGTCTAACTACTTAGCTAAGGCTTCTCTGAAACACAAAGGAGAGACTCCAGGATGTAACCAAGTTGCCAAATGCTTGCTTTTAATAGGATCCCCTACAATCTACGCAGGTTACGCTGGTAACGTCGCCAGTAAGGCCTGCACTTTGGCAAGCTCTGCCACGTTCTTTGTGTCGATCTCGTCCTGCACAGCCTTAAGCCTCTCGGACAAAACTCTTTCGCACTCGGACACAGTCACCACATCGTCTATGTTTGTAGGGTCCACAAGATATCCCAACTCCTCCACGAGTGGGACGAGGCGAGAGAAGGAGTCTTCGAGCTTTCTGCTTTCAACCCTCGGGCCAGGATCCCTCGCCCTTCCCAATGATTCGATTGTTTGAGTCAAAATTTCTTCGCACCGACAAAGCTGTGATTCCGAGTCGTAGCGGTCATCCCGATCTAAAAGGATGCAGAAGTCGTACACAAGGACAGCCAGATTGTCCAAGTCGAATTCTGCTTCCTCGTTTGGTTCACTGTCCGCTCTGGGAGCAGGCGTGGCAAGTTGTAGAACTTCCGACATGGCCTGCTGCTCAAACGACAGCTGTTCCGAACTAAGTTGGATACCGATGTTGTCGGAATGCTTCTGTGGCCACGGTGGAGCATCTACGCCATTGCGACTTCTGACCGCAATTGTTTGATCATCCACGGGGGCTAGCCATGGGTTGATCATTTCTTCGATGTCGCGGTGAAAATCGATATCTTCGAGGAGCTTCCGATGCTCGGGAGCGAGGGTATTGGCCCGATACTTGCGCCTTTGCCGAACGACCCACAATCTCAATCGACGGTCTTGCGTGAAGCGAGGTGGAACTTTGCAGTTGCCGTATTGACTCTTGTAGACTTTGAGTTTTGAAAGCATGATAACCCACCTATCGTCGTTTCTCCCTTTAGTGTTTGTATCACCACGGGATACCGGTTTGGTCCAGTCAAAACCGATGGCATCCAAAGCTTGACGAATCTCTGGTTTCAGAGTTTGCTTGTTGCTCCGTTGTCTGTAGACCCACACTGCGAGCCCAGAATCGTGGCCCCACTCGACATCACAGGTGTTGTGCTCCTGCTTGTACTTTTGCAATGCCTCGACCTTCTGCTGCCACGCACTCCTCTTGCTGGCACCGGTAGAATGACTTGCCTCTGCCATTGTTTGCTACCGTACCGTGCGAAATGGAAGATATGAACGAAACGAAAGGTGCCTTTTGTATTATGAGCGATGCAATGGATCGGGCGCGAACACATTTAGTGCTAAGCAGCGTGGAATCCATGGAGTCGCCACGATACAGCACTGAGTCGTCACTCACGCAACACCTCGAAAGGTTTATACGATTGTGCTATAGTAAATTGAAAGAACAAACTAACTTTGGTAGCTACCGGTACGATGTGGCATTTAATGGCCTCGAACATCGACGGCAGAGCACTTCACGACACATCCACATCGAGATACCCCAAGCCGCAGGAATCATCGGATGTGATGATAAAGACATTATCCGCAACACTGGGAATGTCGGTGTTGTCTCGCAGCAGTTTGGCAAAGGAAAAGCTGTTGGGATCAAAAATGCGTTGCATGTTGCCATTGGTAAAATCTAAATCACCTTTGAAAAAGAATGGATCACCATCACGGAGTCGAGTAAATTGAATCTGCATCATCGTCGTGGCGAGCTCTCCCATGGAGGATCCTGACCGATGATCTTCTGCGAGAGCTCCTACCCAGGCATCGACCATGTTGACGTCTCCTCCGTAAGCGGCATGTAAGAGCGCTTGTACGTAAGTATCTTTGGTAATGCTGGCGAAATCAGCCATGGCACTCAGACCAACTGCTTCCCGCAGCATGTTGTAAGTTGGAAGACCATGGTCCCTTTATTCAATAGAAAGAAGACAGAAAGTGAACAACCCGCAGTTTTCCAACTGCAAGCACAATACAACACAGCCATGCATTCCTGGATTGCTTACCTTCCTCTCTGGATATTGAGCGTAGCGAGATCCAGACAGGCTGGGGTGTCGGCATCAATCGCAAACAAAAAGTTCCGCACTTCAGAAGTGACAAAAATATCCAGCTCTTGGGCTCGATCCATCAAGAGTCCTCCCAAGAGTAGATCTACATTTTCCGGGGTATTGGACAAGAACGATGGGTTAAAGAAGGCGCTGCGCAGTGGAAGACTACTGGTGGCTGTCTTGGTGTATCCCAATGTGAGTGTGGGTTGTAGGAGTGAATGTCCAAATCGAAAAATGGCCGTGGTGAACTCGGTCAGCATGCGTGGATCGACCGACCTGCTAAAGGAATGATCATCCAGCGAAGGGGCATCGCTCCCCATGAGAGCTGGTAGCCACTCTTTGTAGGTGATGATCTATACGGTACCGGTAGAATGCACAATGAGCATCAACATGGCAGCCACTCCTAACCACATCATACATACATTCTGCTGCCCTTTTTTCATTTCTTTCGTACCTGCATTTCAGCTCCCACAATTTTCCTCGCCAATTGATAGATTTGTTCGTCCGTGGCATCGCTCCATGTGGCTTGGATCAAGTCAGCCAATCGATTGTGTTCTCTGACAAATAGTGTATGCATACTGGTCAATCCAACCTGTTCATTGGCTCGAATATCTCCCGCCACAAAGAGCGTAGTGGAATTCCCTCCGGCATTGGGCAGTGGATTGTTGGCATAATTGAACATTAACAAGTCGCGTGATTTGGTGGTACTTGTCATTTGCATTTTGCCATTGGTTCCCGTGCGCAATCGAGTGGCGCGAGTGGCATCACTGCCATAGACAAAAGAGGCATCGATAAAGGCGGTAATCATGTTGGGTTGTTCGCGTTTGCTGTCGACCATGGTGAATTCCGAACGCGAGAATTGGACTCTGTCACATCCGGCTTGTCGGAACATGTCATCTTGGTCGTTACAACTGACCGAGGCATCTCCAAAGGCGGCGCCGCCTTCGGTCAATCCAATGTCGTGATCGAGGAGTTGTCCAAATTGCCAGACCATGGCCGACAGACCCCGATCGCTCAAGGTGGTCACATCCTGAGCACAGACCGTGTTGCTGACATCGCGGGGATTGAACGTGGATTCAATGGTTTCGCCCGTGTCGTCGGGGTAAAATGCAGGGACCAGGCGGGCGAGACTCTCGTGGGCTTTGCCGTAGTTGTCCACGGGCAGTCGATCGGAACCATCGTACGTTCGAACATTGGTCTCGTCGAATGGAAATTGGGCTTGAACTACTTGTGGTGTTGTCGTTATTAGTAATAGGACAGACAGGAACACTGCCGCTGTTGTTGCTTGATGGATGATGATGAACCGTCTCATCATGGTGGTGGTGAAGTTATTGCTGTAAAATTGTGAACGAAGAAGCTGCAAAGAGACCGTTTGAATTTCAAATTCAAAGCATTAGAATAGCCATAGCCCTAACCTAGCACGACTGAAAGATCCAACATTGCGAACCTTTGAAGCGAACACAAACCAACAAATCACCAAGCATACTAGTATCGGTACCAAGCAACTTAAAAGCATAGCAAGCAACTTGCAACCAAAAGCAACAACCAAGATGGAAGAAGCATTACGTACATGTGGTAGCCCATAATGTATAAGCGTAGAAAGAACAACCACAACAAGGAACGGACAATGGTTTTGGTACAACATCAGAAGAAGGCTGGGGTTTTCCGAAAGATTGTTATCTGTATTGCTACAGTATTATGTGCCCTCTTTGTGCAGCAACCTCAGAGGCCGTTTGAAGACTACCTGGGTCTCTTGGACAATAGTGAGATCAAGCAGGTCATCCAAAGAGAAATTCCAACCACTGTGGAAGAGAATGCTGCAACTACCGATGGTGACATACAAAAGACATCATTATTACTGCAAAAAGCAACACCAATACAACAGAGTCTCAATCTCAATGCGTCCAAACAAAATCTCGCCATCCAGATACCCCAGCCATCATCAGTATCCTTGGATCGACAGAACAATTCCTCCTTGGCAATCCTCCCCAGTCATCGTCCCGACCACAAAATGCCACAATGGATGTTGGAGTATTTCCAATGGCATCAACAACAACGTGCACAACTCACTGCTCAGAATTGGAACAAGGGTCGCTTCAAATTTCTCATTATGAGATGCCTCCATAGCGAAATTTGTGGAGGAACATCCGATCGACTCCAATCTCTTCCGTACCAATTGCTCATGGCTTATCAGCAAAAACGAATCCTTCTCATTTACTGGCAACGGCCCTTTCCACTGGAAGAATTCTTATTGCCACCTCGAGGTGGACTAGATTGGCGGGTTCCAGAATACATGCAACAAAAGCTGCTCGCAGAACACCAAGATTCTTTGCCATTGGTATATGCCCCCACGGGCTCCAAAATTATCAATAGTCCGCCAATGAAACAGAAACTGGTCGTTTGGGCACGGGATCAGACACACAACCACGGAAAGGCCGTCTACGATCAGTATCACGAACGCACCAAACAAGAAACCAATCGCTTTGAAACCGTCTTTCACGATGCCTGGAGAATGGTACTGACACCGGCGCCACCGGTGGCGCGCAAGATTGAGTTTTGGATGCAAAAATTGGGTTTGATTTCCGGCGACTATGCCGCCGTTCATGTCCGAGCGCTCTATGGAGTGCACAATCGGTCGTTGGCAGATATTCAAGCGTGGACGAAAAATGCCATTCATTGCGGGACACAGTTGTGGCCCCCGGGGCCCTTTTTGTTTGCTTCGGATAGCAGTCAAGCACAACAATTCGCACTGGACTATGGCCAACAACACGGGGTGCCTGTCGTGTCGCGTCTTCATGACACGGAACCGCTGCATATGGATGTGCGATACGACAACGCCACATCATCATTGGGGCCATCGGACTACTATGACACATTTGTCGACTTGTATTTGTTGGGGAATGCACGGGCTGTCGCGTACAATGTAGGTGGATATGGAAAACTGGGATTGATTATGGGATTTGATTCCAAAGCTGGAATTCAACACCAACGAGGAGGCGTACCCTGGGCACATGGCGTAACAGGAGTCAAATTGCATCAATGTGGGCTGCGCAAGGCATCCACCCAATCAGCAGACGGCAATCCACAGACCCTCATCAAACGGAAGATGCCGTTCTTTGTGCCTCCCATGGATTCTCCAGCGTAGCACTGGATAAGTCCATATTATGATGAGTAAGCAGGCAGGCTATGCCAACAAAGCTCTTGCGACACATCTGTGTCCAAGCAAGAGTGCATCAAAAGTTGCCACATTTCTAATCCAGAGCAGTTCTCTCCAGACGAAACTAATGGTTGGCGCATACATCTGAATCATGCTGTGAGTTGTGATTCAAGATTGTCTGATTGTGAGTATTCCTTCCACTCAGCTTTGACACCATGGAAAATCGTCTACTTGCGCCTGGCTCTAATGTCCACAGTGTGGGCTCATCCTCCATCTCGAAACTGTTGGGAGGCTTGATCCAATACAGCCAAGCAAGGAAAATATTAAGATACCTACGAACTAGTAGAAAGCTACAGTACCCAGAAGCAAGATTGCGTGCCCGGTGATAGATGAAGTAATTCACATTGCAATGCTGTTTATGTACCATACACAGATATTCAACATAGAATTCATAAATAATTGTGACAGATTACATGTAGTCATCATGAAGTAGAATTGGTGATGTCAAGAGAGCCATCAGCTCTGACTGTGATGCCAATGGTGACTTCAGAGAAATCACTGTCACTGGGAGATGCAAAATCATCAGTAGTACTGACATAGGAGTACAGAACCGTTTTGTTTTCTGCCGTCAGAGTTACCCATCCAGGGACATACAAACCATCACCAAAACTGTCATATACAATCAACCTGTAGGCTGTGTCAGCACTGATCGGGAGGAGAGAGGAGTAAAGATAAGATCTTAACGCCAGTGGACCACCTGATTCCAGTGTGTCCCAAATACCAGTCACATTGGTTTCTTGTTGCCAAACCCATGATGTTTCCAGTGGATCCCTATCAGTTTGGATGTTCAGCATGACATCAGCAACCGTGGTTGGAAACCACCCAGGCCAATCACGTAGACCTCCCGCGAGACCAGCACAGGTAGAAACAGGAGGAGTTTCATTTAGGGAACAATCACAATTGAGAAAAGAACAAAGATGGTCTGGAACAGTTCCTGAGAACGTATTCCCATACAGTCTTAACCCCATAGATACGTTCAGTTGCATAGGTAAGGTCCCCATCAAGCCATTGTTGTGAAGATCCATGGATGTTAGTGATGTCATCATGCCAATTTCAGTTGGGATTGTGCCCGTGAACTGATTTCCTGATAGGACCACCTCTTCCAATAAGGCCAGGAGCCCGAGCTCAGAAGGAAGTGTACCAGAAAACTGATTCTCATCAAGGGCAAGTTCTTCCAGTGAGTTCAGGAAGCCAAGCTCAGAAGGCAGTGGACCGGTTAACTGGTTGTAGTGAAGGTTGATGAATGCCAGTGAGGTCAGGAACCCTATCTCCGAAGGCAGCGGACCAGAAAACTGATTCAAAGCAAGCAAAAGTTTTGTCAATGAGGTTAGGAGGCCAAGCTCAGAAGGAACTGGGCCAGTGAACTGATTGTCATTTAGTTCAAGCCAGAGAATAGATGTCAATAGTGCAAACTCAGATGGAATTTGGCCTGACAACTGATTCCCAGCAAGCCGAAGAGTATAGAATGAGGTCAGGAGGCCAAGCTCAGCAGGAACTGGACCTGTAAACTGATTGTCATTTAGTTGAAGCCAGAGAATTGAGGTCAATAGTGCAAACTCAGAGGGAATTTGGCCTGACAACTGGTTTGCATTCAATTCCAAGGAAGTTAACAAAGTGAGCTGACCAAGCTCAGAAGGGATATCGCCGCTCAGCACATTTGCATTTAACCCCAAGTAAGACAAACCCGTCAGCTCGTAAAATTCTGATGGCAAGAGAGTTGAAATAGGTGCTGCAATGTCATTCACATGCAATCCAAAAAAAGACAAGGAAGTCAACAAGGAAATCTCTGGGGGCACAGATGGCTGAAGCCCAGACAGCTGAAGGCCATTGAGCCAAAGAGATGTGAATTGCCCATGGCCATCGCATGAACTGCCAGCTGGTAAACCCAAATCTTCAAACCGAAGGAACCTGCCGTCTGCACCAAAAACTCCAAATGCACTAGAGAACCATTCACACTCCTCCTTTGTGTCATCCATCCATCCATGGCCTTTTACTAAAGGGTTCCAATTGTCTCCCTCAAAGGCGTAGAAGAAGGTAGCAAGAGCAAACAGCTGTTCCTTTCTCCATTCTGGAAGAAACGTGATGTTTTGGTGTTCGGCAAGCCATTGCCATGCTTTCCATTGAGGTTTGTCACTGCCGTTGTTGATCCTGGCCACAGTGCTATCAGGTAAAGTATCCAACAAAAAGTTCAGAGCACCAGTGGGAGAGGTGGATGGGACGTCCGACGGAGTCATGGTACCATAAACAGTAGGAGATGGGGTTTGGTACACAACAGCAGCATTGTTCTTTCCAGCAGTCCCAGTCACAGTCCCAATAACGGCAGCCACGGCACTGACGACCAGAAACACAATAAAGAGGAGTGTTTGCCTAAATTTTTTCTTCTCTTGTTTCCTTTTCTCTTGTTCCTCCAAATCAACGGGATTTGCATGCATTAGATCTTCCGGGTCATTGGTGACTCGGTTGGCCACGGCCAAATGGTCCGTGGTGGCACCGGATTGCCTTGCTTGATTGGGAAATAGAGTTGGGTCCAAAACGGGGTTGAGTGCGGGCTCTACAGCTGTTGTGGAATCATGATGATCTGTATCACCCATCTGACCAATCAGTGCATCCTGACTAGCAGCACCAACAAGGGAATATTGTAGGGTAGTTGCTCGTTGCAAGGCTCCTCCCGGTAAATTCATGTAGGCCCCTGGTCTGGATGGCGGTTGTTGTTGCCTCTGTAGTGGGATAGGTTCTGGTAGTGCTGCTGGTAGTACTGCTGCAAGTTCTGCACTTTGCCGGTTAAGTCCTACACCTTGTTCAATTGAAGTTGCGGCATTCCGAGAATTGGCAGCAGTATCATCTTCTTCTACTTTGGCATTTTTGTTGATTTCTCTTGCCATATTAGCATCGCTGTGTTCTCCTTGCTTGGCATCTTCATCCTCCTTCAATGTTTGTCTAGTTGCCAATCCTTTGAGAGGAGTACCCACAGAAGGGGTCTGTCCCTTTGGGAAGAAGGATAGATGGTGCCTTTGTGGGGTGTTGCTGAGCTGAGCTTCCATGCCAGTATTTTTGTGTTCTTGCTTGATATCTTCATCCTCGTTCAACATTTGTGCTGTTGCCAAACTTGCCTGATCCGCCAAAAATTCCATGATACCGGTAGCTTCATCCTTCACTTCTTCTTCGTCTACCGCTTGATTGGTTTCTTCAGGGGCGTCCCTTACTGTTGGGTCGAGTTCATCAGGTCGTGTGCTGGTACCGGTACTTGCATCTAATGAGCCATCGGCACCATCGGGAGTACCGGTGCTACTCGAATGAGCACCCTTTTTTCCTTTCATCTTTCTCTGCTTCTGCCACTGCCGGGTATTAATTCTGTTCCAGTGTTACAATAGTAACAAGGATGGGGCACGACGTTGCTCTTCGATGTTTGCTTCATGGGGTGCGGATCCACTCGTTGGGGCTTTGCGCAGCAAGAGTGCCAAATGATCCAGCTAGTAACGGGAGACTACTGAACAGCTGCCTCTTCTTCTTTGGCCTCTCGCCAGCTGCCGTGGATAAGTATTGTACATACATGTACAAAAAGATCGTACCAGTACTCTAGTAGCGTTGTTCCAGCGGTTGAGAGGCGAGAGAGTTGAGAGGAGGTGATGTTTGGGAGCTTGTTTGGGGGGCCCGGGATATACCGTATGGACGGGAGTTTGGACAGGTGTGTTTCCTGTATGCATAAGTCGTGTTGTCCTACATGAGTTCACTTCTTTCGGAGCCTAAGTCAGGCAGGAAGAAAGGATTTACTGGGCGACAGAAACAAGCTGGCAAGTCCAATTCACACATTCGCTGGGCATCTAACTTTCAAGGGTCCGAAAAGGATCTCTTTCTTGTGCGTCAAGATGTCAAAGATCAACCTCTTCTTGCTCCTGCAGCTCTCCTGCCTGCCCTCCTCCTCTCTCCTCTGAAACCCATCCTCACCAAAGCCCATTCTGATCCAAAGTAACTTCTCGTTTTGACTTCTACAAGAGCCCACTGAGCGAACTATAAAACCGGTAGACGCCTATAATAGTTGAGAGAAGAAAGCATTCTATCCCCTGGAGACATTTTCCATGATTGTCTAACAAATACAGTAATAATGTACGATGTAATAATAGGAAAACTTTCTTTGCGCTGATGAGGTGCAAATGAAGGCTTTCTAGGAGCTTAGTTGAAGACCAACATCAAGCCAATAGCTATCCGATTGTAAACGTGTTGACGGATTGAGCGCCCCCTTCAACGTTCATTGTCTGCGCTGTAAATTGATAGCCACATCGAGCCATCAACTCTTTGGCTGTTTTGAGCAAGAAATCATTGTGGAACTGAATGGTCTTGTCTGTCTTGCCCATGAGTTGAAGAGCCTGCCCGGACCACAGAGTGGCTGGAGCTGTGAGTGAAAGCACAAAGTTTGTTCCAGAAGCATCACCAAATGCTCTTCCTTCTTTTCCAATCGTGGCACTGCCACTAAACGCGTATCCATTCATCAAGAACAAGGTCACAAGTTGGTTGAGCGAAGCCAACAGCGTTGCCGATCCGGGTCGAGTATTGAGAGGAAGGTACGGCAGGGCGTTCTTGGTACCTCCGTATGTGGCATCCAAGTGATCCAAAATGGCAGAGGCCACCCTGTGACTGTGCTCCGATGAAAGTTTGTCATTTGTCAGGGCAGCATCTCTCTTGACAATAGTCGTGGGTCCGTACTGTAATCGTTGGCCACCTGGAAGAAGTACATCCGAGATAGTGTTTGTGATTGGTTTTTGTTCCGTAAACACAAATGGGGCATCCGAGGAGACTTCTCGATTGATGGCGGCATACTGGGCAAAGGACAGGAAATCGAAATAGTTGGGGTCGGTCATGTCCACATTGATGGGAGAGCCAAAGTCACTTGAATATTGTTGGTATTCTGCGTCACGGATAATGGCAAAGTCTCGTTGAAACTGGTCCTGTGTCCGAAGTGAAGAATGTAGCAAACAGCGTGGGTAAGCCTACTGCAGGATGGAGTCTGCTTGGCGTGGGTGCCTTTTGTGACGTACCATTGGAACACAATCAATGTCATCCATGGACTGATAGGAAGATGTCATAAAGAGGGAAGCAAAGTCCTTGTCAAGACTTGGGCGAAGGGTTTGAACGGGTTTGGGTCTCAATTTTCGATGGGCCTTGGCTTTGACACTATTGGCTTCTTCCTCGGTCAAGGGAGCAGCAGCTTGGACCACACGAGGATACGCCAATGACGAGGCCAGTACAGCAGTGGCGTGCAACAGATTTCGTCGGGTCATCAGCGAGTTATCGGATGTTTCATTCTCGTCATTGCTTCCCAAGTGTCTCGTCACGGATCTCGATGAAATCTTCCAACTATCGGATGTGTTTGGCCCCAGTGGATTCTGGTTAACTTGGAGAAACCCGTCGGATAGAGCCCACAAACAGCTAAAAAACACGAGAACCGTCTTTGTTGGCATCATTGTTGGAGCCTTTGCTTCTTGAAACTAAGTAAGTTGCGCTGCTTCAGTGCTTCAAAGTGAATGGCTACAAACTAAGTTTTCTTTGTGAGAACAAAGTATGCATTGCCACTGGAGTTGTCTCCGGCATGATTGGGTCCTGGCAAGTTGACATGTTCCGAGAACCTCATGATGACACTTCAGTGAATTCTGATTCTGGGGGCCAAAACCAGCAAATTTCTCCCAATAGATAAATCATCGTTTCGTCCCTCCAGCGCCATTATCTTTCATCCTTGATATTGACTTGACCAGGACGAATGTTGCGGTGTTGCTCCTTTGGTTTCCTTTTTCATCACACATCCAAAACAAGAGCTCGTCTTCTTCGGAAGCCGAAGGTGCAAGATCTCATTCGTGCATCTGCAATCATTGATGACAACACCAGTCATGAGTATACCGTGACTCAGGCTATGACGTACGCAACTGCCGCCACTCATCGCATACGTGTTCTGCAAACGGCTATTGGAGATGATGTCTCTGGATTTGACTGCACGTCGTTGACCTCGGTAGAAGGCGACGACAGCTTCGAATGGGTGCAAATTGAGGTAGGTGATGTGTGCTTTGATGTTTGATGTGTCTGGTTCTCAACAACCCATGAGACCTAAAATTGCACTCCGTCATTCTTAGACCGCGTTGATTTATCGTTAGTTTTTTGAAAGGATACCTTTGTTACCCTCTCCCATAATTTATTTGTCTAGCCGACAACAACATCACATCAATACAACATCAATCATGAAGGTTTATTTCAGTGCAATTTTCGCCTTGGCCACTGCCGTCAATGGTTTCCAGAGCGCTGGCTTTGTCCGAACTTCAAGTCGGGCCAGCAGCGCCATGTCCATGGCGGATGGTGAATTTGATTTTGATGTTGCCATTATTGGATGCGGTGTTGGAGGACACGGAGCTGCTCTTCACGCAAGAGCCCAGGACTTGAAGACTGCCGTCTTTGCCGGTGAAGATGTTGGAGGAACCTGTGTGAACCGTGGTTGCGTCCCCAGCAAGGCTCTGTTGGCCGCTTCTGGACGTGTCCGTGAAATGCGCGACACCGCACACCTCGAGTCTCTGGGAATTGAAGTGGGTGAAGTCAACTATTCTCGCGAGGGAATTGCCGCCCACGCCAAAAACCTTGCCAACAGAGTCAAGGGCAACTTGGAGATGAGTCTTGTTGGACTTGGAGTCGATGTGGTTGAGGGACGTGGAGCCCTGACTGGAAAGCCCCATGAGGTTTTGGACCAAAAGACAGGAAAGGTTTACACTGCCAAGGTACGTAGGATATGAAATCATTGAACAGGGATATATGTATTATTCAGATTAGGTGCATCGCTTACGATCCTTTCTTGTTTGTTTAGGACATCATCTTGGCTCCTGGTTCCATCCCATTTGTCCCCCCTGGTATCACAGTGGATGAAAAGACCGTCTACACATCCGATGGAGCTTTGGAGCTTCCATTTGTTCCTGAATGGGTTGCCATTGTTGGATCCGGATACATTGGTTTGGAATTTTCCGATGTCTACACTGCCTTGGGAAGTGAAGTTACATTCATTGAGGCTCTTCCCCTACTTATGCCTACCTTTGACAGAGAAATTGCCAAACAGGCCGAGCGTCTCTTGATCCGTGAACGCCCCATCGACTACCGAACCAACGTTTTCGCTTCGGAAGTCACACCTGGAATCCCAGGAGAAAAGCCCGTCACCATCAAGATGATTGATGCCGACACAAAGGAACATGTTGAGACCCTTGAGGTTGATGCCTGTATGGTTGCCACCGGACGTGTCCCCAACACTGCCAACATGGGATTGGAAGATGCTGGAATTGAAACTCAACGAGGATTTGTTGCCGTCAATGGTAAAATGCAAGTCTTGACAAAGCACGATGGTGGTGATGTCCTCCCTGGTGTCTGGTGCATTGGTGACGCCAACGGAAAGATGATGCTTGCCCATGCTGCATCTGCACAAGGTATCTCCGCTGTTGAGAACATTGTCGGACGCCCACACGAAGTTGACCACGCGGCTGTTCCCGCTGCTTGCTTCACCCACCCCGAAATCTCCATGGTTGGACCCACTGAGGAGCAAGCCATCGAAATGGCCGAAAAGGAAGGATGGACTTTGGGCAAGAGTCAAGGAAACTTCCGTGCCAACTCCAAGGCTCTTGCCGAGGGTGAAGGTAACGGAATTGCCAAGGTTCTCTTCAACAAGGACACTGGCAAGGTTGTCGCCGTCCACATCATTGGACTTCACGCCGCTGACTTGATCCAAGAATGTGCCAATGCCGTTGCCGCTGGAACCACTGTCCAGGAACTCAGTATGATGGTCCACACACACCCAACTCTTTCCGAGGTTATGGATGAAGCCTTCAAGGGAGCTGTTGGCATGTCTTCTCATTAAGCAAACAGAAACAAAGGAATGGAAACGACCATGAGTGTGAACCACACACATCTTGCTCCATAGAACTCTTGTCTATCGCATCACTCCAAAATAACATATAAAACACAAACTGCATATATATTTACTCTGGTTGGTCCACAATAGTTTAGTTGGTTTCGAGAAGATGGAAGATACGGATCAGTCTAGCTAGTAGAGAAGCAACCGAACGTCAGCTTTGTTTCTCTGCGAATTTCGTTGACTTCACTCGCTACCTGCCATTATAGGTGCGACCGCTGTTTAAATTACTATGTAACCTTTACTCGACCAGATCCTCTCATAGTACTGCCAATGTATTGCCGAGGAGTAAGGCATCATTGTTTTGGTTGACTGGCGAGATTGACGCCTACATTTCTGGTTTGCTCATGAAAAGAAGCAAGGAAGCTCTAAAATTCGGTTTCTGGCTGGCCCCGAACAAATCAATCAATCCATTTGAAAGCAGGGTAATATAGATCCACCAGATGAAATTTGTAAAGGAAAATCGTGCATCCCAGGTCTAAGAAGCGGTGCCATTCGAAGAAATTGTGGCCTGATCAGCCCAGACTGCTGATTGATTGTCGAGTTATTAAAGTCTCAAATCAAAGTAAAACCTTCTCGTGATGAAGCAATTTCATGACACTTTTTGCTTTTGGTGGTTGTTGGTAGATGATGATTGTTGTTGTTTCTTTTTTTCTTTCAACAAGACTTGTTGACGAAATTGTTCCTTGTTGTCTTCCCATTGACGCAGAGGTACTGGATTGGCGGACAGATAGTCTTGTTGTGCAAACATGGCTCCTCCCAACATGTTTGGATTGCCTCCTTCCGTCAAGACTTGTGCGTCCACTTGCAAGGGTTCTACGAAGGAAGGGGGACCTCGATCTTGCGCCTTGGTCAAGACGGGCAGTGCTTTGTGGGGTTCGTGGAGTTGATAAATGTACAAGGCCGCCAAGGAGAGGTAGGCTGGAAAGTAGAGATCGTCGCGATCAATGGCCTTGAGCAACAGTTGTTCGGCTTGCCGTTGATGGACCTTGTCGTCTAGTCGGATGCGGCGGTTGTGGTGCAATGTTGCCAAAGCAGTGCTATCGTATAAAAATATGCACGACATGACATACATGATGAGATCAAAATCCTTTCCATTGCTCCTTTTTCTTGTCTTTCGTCACTGACTAACAATAACTTACCTGTAAAGCTCTGGAGCATCCGGAGGAAATACAATTTTGTAAATGGCACGTAAAATGGCGAGCAACCCTTGCAGCGCCAAGATGACGATCAGAATGGGACCCACCCACTGCAGCACCAGCCATTGAACATCCTCCCAAAGCTGGTACTGAAGGTAGATATAGATCGAATCTATCAATTCTTGCAGCTTTTGAGCATTCTCCACGTTGAGGGACATGGTTATACTAGCTAGTATATTATTTATTGGAGTGGAAGGGTTCTTGGGTGCATGGAGTGAGTAACGTAGAATAGTGGAGGAGGTTTCCCCGGTGGCTTTCCATGAGCATGGAAAAGGGAAAGGAAGAGACGTTGGATCTTTGAAGCAAAAAAAGAAATAACCCCAACTCTAATTTGATTTGTATCTTTGGTATGTGTTAGAAAGGTATTTTCGTATGAAGGACAGACGACTCGGGATCCACAATCACGGTTCGTGATTGGGGATGTGTGACTCAAATCAGATGGTTATCCGATCATCATCAGATGGCCAGGTGTACAAGGAACGAGGACAATGGTCGTCTAGATGATGCAACTACAAAGGTTAGGAAGTTAGGTCGAAGAGATGAATGCAAGGAGCGACGGGATGGAACAAATGAATGGACGGATGAAGGTCCATAGGTTTAGTAAAGTGGGAAAGCCCTCCAGGGCCAACCATGCACTTCAGGAAGATAGATCGACGAGATCTATCTGCAGATGAAACTGCGAGAACAGAGGATCGAAAGATCCTGGTATATGTATGCATATCGGAGCTCAGTTGTAGAGCTCACAATCTGAACGAGAGAGAAAGAGAAAACGAAAAAAATAGCCAGTCTACTAGACAGTAGAGCTGGAAGGATATTGATTAAATTAGAGAAAATGTGCGTTCAAGTTCACAACTTTTCAACACTTTTAAAACGATAGCTATCGGAAAGAGTGAGCTTGGACCAGGTTGTCAAACAGAAAAGAGAAGAATGAGAAGTAAGTAAAGATGTCTAGGAGGTAGAGGTATCATCGTCGAGCAAGTACCCATCTTCGATGGGAAATGAGAAGTTCAGGTTCTACAAGGTCAAGATGATGGCCCATTATCAAAGTATGGGTACGAAACTAATGAAGGACTCTACGGAGATCAAACGGACAACTGGGAAACCCTACAGGTACGGGCAAGTTGTCGGACGACGAAGTAGAAAAGATCGAAAGTCTTCAGAAGAAGAAAAGCAAGGCGCTGGAATACTGCTGGACTCGATCAAAGTGGAGACCATCGAAGGGCAATGCGCCTTCGACCTACTGGCCTCACACCAAACGACTGACCATGCTGCTGGGAATTCAAGGGCATGTGGGAGTACATGCTGGACCTCTACGATGCTGAAGGCAGTGGTGAGGTAGCAGCTCGACGAAGGAATACTACGCATAAAGATGGACATCAAGGAAAACCAAAAGTTCGAGATTGGACTCGACGGAAAACGCAAGAAGCTAGCGAAGGATGGGTTCAAGATATCGGACGAAGAGTACACAAGGACCTTCTCAGAAATGCCGAAGAAGGAAGGAGAAACTCGGAGTGTATCATGAAGTGAAGAAGAATGTTCTGAGAAGGATCAAGACAACAGGGCATGGAATAACGGTAAAGGGTGTGGTGGATGATTATGCGAAATCTACGATGAGATTAAAGCACGGAACAAGTCGACAGACCACAATGGCGAAACAGCTTTCATGATTGGAGGAAAAAATTCAAGGGCAGATGCAGGAACTGTGGAAGATCGGACACAAGCAACAAGACTGCCCAGACAAGAAAGGCTCGAACGGAAGAAGCTACGAACAAAGGTACCAGGAAAGTCAAACGGTAAATTAACAGGAACAATGGGAGCAGTAGCGGATTTCAAGGAAAGAAGAAGTTCAGCGGAAAGTGTTCCACTGTGGAAAGATTGGGACAGGAAATCGGATTTCCTAAAACTCAAAGCGGAACACGAAATGTAGAAAGAGCGAACACAGCACAAGAAACACGGAAGAGATGGCATTCATGAGTGAGCGAGAAATATGCATGCCATTCCGAGGAGTAGAGTTGTCAGACGATGAACAGGAGGAGTAGAAGAAGCATCGGAATATAAAGGCAAAGAATGGGACGCATTCTGGGACGATTTTAAAGCGGAGATGACGTGGAGAAGATGGAGAAAGCTTGGAGAATTAGCTTATGAGGCGATGGACGCGCCTTAAATCTCTCCAAGAAGAACAACAACGACTGACTAAAGAAGAATACAGTACACAACAACAAGAACCCAAACGTTACCTATCTGTCCTCGAAACAGAGAACAGGGCAGATTCCGACAGCGAAACACTCCACGATTTAAGGCAAAACGGCTACAACAAAGAAGTTTCTGAGAAGAGGAGGAGAAACAACGAACGTCAAATTCGCCCACAATCTAGAAGACGACAACTACTACAGCTGTTGAGCGAAGACGACGAAGAAGTAAGATGTCGAACAGATTCCAAGTTGCCCGGAACGTGCTAGAGGGACAGCTGTACCGAGGTTGAGTCGACACATGATGAAGATCAGCAAACATCCAACCCATTGAGCAACCGACATCCATGAACCGAGCAAACGAAGGATGGGAATGGACGATTCACACATAGAAAGTATACAGTGGAGGAGATCGCGGAAAAAGCATGCCAACTAATCCCCGAGGTACGTATGGGAAGGGCACTCTAGCCCAGAGATGAAGCAACTGTCGGAAACTTCGAACAGTTTCAGATGGTTGCTGAGGTTGATGCCATACGAGATACGAACAACCCCCATCTCGTGGAGCTCCAGGCGGAAGTGCTAGGTTGGGTCAGCAGTTTGTTGCTCTTTCGCGATTGGACTCCAGACACGACAATATCGCAGGGGCTATGTTAACGTGCAAGATAAAGCGCGGACAAAACGTCGGCGAAGGAACAGGAACGCAGAATTCGGGTTCACGGCATTCAACATTCCGATAGGTGAACGAGTGAGATTCGTCGGTACTACCGGGCAATAGTGCGGCTATCTACTGTGGGAAGGGATTAGGAACTATGGGAGAGAAGCTTCACTGGAAATACTTTGCGATTATCAATGGCAGTGATTGTCGGTGGAAGCGTTGATTTGGTCAGCGTGCTCGTGGCAGACAAGCAGAAGCATGGCGCAACGAAGCAATCAAACACCTGCAGAAGGAAGATTACCCCAGAGTATGATGCTCGGAGAGGAAGATTTTCGAGTGCGAACTCTATCCTACGAACTATGGTATCCTCAAGGGTCGCAGCCGATCGCATTTACGTGAACAACACGTCGCAAAGCAATGGCGAGCTGCTGACATATGCTTGTTGGAGTGGACGACACAGTCCAGGCGACTGGGAGCGGATCAGAGACGAGCTCATACCTCAAACTATTCTAGGCGCGGAG